CCGAATGGCCCTCGAGCGTCTGCTGCAGCGCGCCCGACCCGGCGTCCCACAGCTTGACCGTCGTGTCCGCCGATGCCGACGCCAGCGTCCTGCCGTCCGGCGCGAAGGCCACGGCGCAGACCCGGCCCGAATGGCCCTCGAGCGTCTGCTGCAGCGCGCCCGACCCGGCGTCCCACAGCTTGACCGTCGTGTCCGCCGATGCCGTCGCCAGCGTCTTGCCGTCCGGCGCGAAGGCCACGGCGCAGACCCAGCCCGAATGGCCCTCGAGCGTCTGTATTACCGCATTCCATTTCTCCTCGACCCTTGGCAAATTTCGTATCCATCTAGGTATACAGTTTACGAACTGCTTTCTTATTATACTTATTGTCGGTGCGAATACGAGGGCACTACAGTACGTCTGAAGAGGAGCCTGCTCGATAGCTGGCCGATTATAGAGGACGAACCGCTTCGCATCGTGGATAAAGCTTAAAATGCCAGGGCAATTACCAAACTAGCCGAACTGTTAGCGAAAGCACTTGACGTGCTAGAAGTATACTAACGGAAGTAAATAGCTCTAAAGACGCGATAGCATGAGCTCCTTCCGACACCTTCCCCATCCATCCAAGAGCCTCGAGCCAGTGAAGAAGATGCTCCTGTAAGAATTGATGCACTTGACCATTGTCGCAAAGTCGAGCACCGCTTTTCTGGAGGTGCTGGATCCAGTACAGACATGCGTACTGGACTTCAGGAGGAAGACTTTGTTCAACTCGTCTTCTCTCGACATTGGCTACAAGCATGCCGGGGGCATCTACGCAACAGACATCTTGCTTAAGTGATGACGACATAAGCTGGATACAGCTGTTGGTTAACACTTGGTGGGCTTCCTTCTCGTCTACCCAGAAATTCGGATCTCCGCATCTCTTTTTATCGAGAAGAAAGTCGCGAAACGAAGGGTGATGCAGGCGAAGTGGATATATGTCGACCTTGGGGACGTCTAGAATCGCATAAAGATCCCTGAGCACCTGATCGATCTTTTGCTTGGTGATATTAAGCAGCCTGTGAAGCGAGCTGGCAGAGAGCGGAGAGAAGAGAACAATGATGCCTCCAAGAATGTGCCTTTGCATGCTATACGATGCTTCCTTCTCCTTTGCCGAGTAACCTGGCCGGATAGATTTCTTTAGGACGGTAGTATAGAGCTTATTAAGGTGTACTTCTGGATGCTCTTCTGGTGCAGGAATAGAGGCACTGCCTTCTAGCAAAGTTTGCACTCTTTCGTCTACGAGATAACCTTCTTGAATGAACCGACAAGCGGTTGCAGCCCAAATGAACAATCCCCCTGCAATCTGGATCAGGGTTTTGATAATCTCTTCGCCTGGCCAGGAGTCATCCAGAGAGTGCTCCTGTCCAATAAGTTTAAGATTATACTCGAAGAAAACAGAGATGTCGTGATCTACGATTAAGGGTGATATGCTGTGAAGTACAAAATCCTGGAGATTCGCATTCGGTAGCTGACGGAATCCATATCGGATTGGAATCTCAGGTCGGCTTGTTAGTAAGACTCGTAGTCGAACCGTCTTTAACAATCGAGCTTCAGCCAAGAGGTGTATAATAATCCGGATGTTATTATCACCGTCGCACTCATCGAGCGCATCAACGATAAGTATGTACGAGGACTGGCTACCGTTTTCACCTAGCTTTAATAGTGGACCTAGGATAAGCTGCTGCCACTGGTCACGGAGGGACTGACTCGTAATGTCGCGGCGCTCTCTAATGGCATCGCAAATGTACTGTTGGAGAGAGGGTATGTTGTTCGCCAGCTGCCACGCAATGCTCGTGATGAACTTGCCTGCATGGTTGACATCCCCACCGCCGCGCGAGAAGAAGAAGCTGGCTCCGAGATGCTTCTCATCGAAGCACCTGCGGGCGACAGTGCGCGCAATTGTTGACTTGCCCGTGCCGGCCAAGCCGTTCAACCAGAAAATAGAGCGCCCATCTTGCCCGTCAGCCCAGTCGTATATCTCTTGGAGGAGGTCGACGCGGGTATCGGGAAGGCAGGTTGGGTCGTGTTGTCGCTGGTATGTATTGAACGGCGCGTCCTTTGCGGTAGGGAGGGAGTTGAGCACATCGTTCAAGTCTAGATTGCCAGTCAGCTTCCTGCTGCTTTGAGGCCATAGCCAGGTAAGCAGCCTCACTTTCGCTGCTCCCAAAGGTCACAGATCCATGGATAGTGCCAGCGACAACCAGCGAATTCTTCTTGGCGGACACACCGCTAATGAGTTGAGTGTTGTCTGACATGAGCTTAGAGTAGCAACGCTAGGTTTTGCTAGGTGCCGGTTGTTGCTCTCTTCTGGCACATGTTGCCGTGTATATGGGCATGCGAACACCTGGGAGTGAGTTCAGGTCTGTACGCAGATGAGGTTCATCCTCAATCCTCAACTAGCGAATGCATTCGTAAGGCTCGCCAATTAACACTCCTGCCTTGCCGCTGTCCACTGCTGGAGAGCAGCTGTCAGCTGCAAAGTAGGGCGGAACTAACGCCAAGAGCATTTGTCGACACTGTCGAAAGCGAGCATCTTAACTCCCTTCCTATTCCGGCAGCCAACGGGCGCTGTACGCCCTCTGAATTTGAAGCAATGTCTTATACCACTCTGGTTGACTATATTTATAATATCAAACGCGAAAATAGAAATGGAAATATTATTCACCATCTTTCGTCAAAGTAGGAACTCTTAATTGTGGAGTTCCTAGACTGGCCACGGCCGGTAACCCTGCTGCCCTGTCATCCTCTATAATTATCCCTATTACTCTCTAAGCCGGCTTGGTTTTGGCACGCGATACTTATAGACACGTTCTTCCGGTCTTCGAATGCCTCGAGGTCGCCGCGGCCGCCCCTTCTGTCCCTTCTACTGCGGCAGAGGCTAGTCGCAGCTGGGAGCGGAGTCGTGTCGGTCATGCGCGAGCGAGAAGGGGAGAGCGATTGGGTGACAGGGGCCCGTTAGGAAAAGGCGCAAGGAAAGGCGAGGAGGGCGAAGGAGGTGAAGGGTGGGGACGTGGACGGAGAGGGGGTTTTGCAATTCTTTCGAAATGTTGTAGATGGGGAGAGTTTAGAGACAATAACGAAGATAGAGAAGTCCAAGTAAGGGAAGAGACACCCAAAACCAGAATCGGCAAGGGACCACCATGTCGAATATTTTAAAAAGTCATAGCTTGCATCGTCTATCATTCCTTACACTTAGTTAATAATACCAATCCAAGGCTTTTCCGAATCTCAATTCCAATATGTACTTCCCCGACACAATGCGGTAGTGCAAGGCAGCTATAGACCCCCTCCTGCTTCGCCTCGACGGACTCCAGTAGTCGGAAGCGATTCATCAACGTGACGAGAGCGCGATGCTTCACCGGCCCCTGGCGCTGGACTTCCTTAAGTAATCATGGCCCATTTCCCGTCACACTCCTGCTCGAGACGTTGCAGCAAAGCATCCTCCTCTGGAGTAAAGGCAACGCGAACCCTCCTCGGTTTCGGGTTTGGCCTTTTATGCTTTAGCATGAAGTCCGAGTCAAAGTCATCACCGCTACTGTCTTCGAGTGCAGAGACAGTTCTAGATAATTGACGTTACCTCTGTACTGATGAAGTGGCCGGCACCGCAGCCACCGCTTCCACGCGGTCAAGGACATCCGAACTATTTCCACGAGGGCCTGCTGGTTCCTCAATGTCTCGGATTGCGTCGGACCGTTGCTACGGATCGCTTCTAGTAACTCCGGCAGGCTCTAAGCCAGGGATCGGTCTTGCGAAGCAGGTGCATGGGGGGGACTACGGCCGTTCTTCGGTGAGGGGGAGTTCGGTAGGCGAGTAATCCTAGGCTCTAGCTCTAGCGAGGGCGAAGCGGGTAGCGAAGGGGACGGAAGACGGTTAACGGAGGGCAAGGGAGGCAGCGTCGCTTCCTGTTCGACGCATAGGTTTAGCTGAATAGAAGAAAAAATGGCGACTCTATCCCCTTACCTAGGTAATCAGGGGAGAGGCCGGCGTAGACTGCGCCGGAAGACGCCCAGGGGAAGGCATCTCGAGACCGGAATGCTGCACGAGAATATGATCTTTAGTGGCGAGGCGGAGTTCCTTGCGGATGAAGTCCTCGACTGCGCGTAGATCTGGGCAGGAGATGCGGAGGAAGGTTGCACCGTCGAGGAGCTCCGAGACGTAGACCGTCACGTCCTCTTCCTTGTTTAGAAAGCGAGTGTTGAGGAGCTGCTGGACCGGGGGGAGGTAGGAAGTCAGGTTGTGAAGGTAGAAGAGAGAGGAAGATATACCATGGATCGAACAGGCATTCTCGCCTCTATTATAAATATTCACCGTCGTCAGCGATCCCCTCTATGATTATAATAGCCAGCCTTTGTGCCCGCTTTGCCGGTCTCTTAACAGATGGAAATATAGCTCGGCGCCAGCCCCTACGTCCTCGCCCCTTCGTCGGCGGATTATGGTTGATCAGAGGGAATCGAGTGGCCGCCGTTTCCTCTAAATTATGGCCGCTTCTTAATGGCTTTACCAATACAAAGGAGCACCCTATATCCTGCGTTTATGTGTTCATATAAGAAGCGCCGCCGTCGGTCGATGTCCTCTGTGATTGTGGATAGCCAGTCGTTGTACCCGCTGTCCCGGTCTCTTGACGATGGATGTGTGTGTGACTCGGCTCCAACCCCTTATCCTCGCCTCATAGTCGACGGGCCATGGCTATTTAAGTAGAGAAGGGAACGAGTGGCCGTCGTTCCTGGAGCCGCGACCGCTTCGATAGCTTGAATCGACACGACGAGGAGCAGGATTCGAGAGCGGGAAGCGTATCTTGGTTCATTCATACGCTATGCAGAATGCATCGCCCTGAGGAAAGCATGGCGGAGCGAAACCTGTTTGGTTTTTTGGTTCGGACGAGAGGAGATTGGAAGAACCCGAATTCATGGTGTGGTGGACGGGCGGGAGTTTTTGATGGATAATGGTTATCGTGAAAGATTTCGGGGATGGATTACGAACAGATGGCGCTATACCTAGTCGGACAGCGCTAAACTAAAACAGGGAACTAACCAAAACCTCACTTGCAGTAACTATCAAGAAAAGTTAAAATTTATTAACGATACTAATGGCTGCACAAAGAAATTCTAGCATATAGATTTCGTTATTCCACACTTTATGTGGCTTTGAAAGCCAGGGAATTGTCACATTGGTAAAGCAGTGATATCAATCTACATCCATCATCCGATCATATCCCGGACATCACCCAGCATATTCGAGGTTCTTCACAGGTAAAGCGCACGCATTGACTCCCAGGCTGTTCAATAGTGCGTCTGGGAGCCAAATTGGAAATCAGGAACCATCAAATCACCCATCGACTCGAAGGTCATACTCGGAGGGAACACCTGGTCGAAGGCCGACTAGAACACAATATCAGCATCTCAGGTCCGCAATCGTACTCGATGTCAAGCGAACTCACCCAATCAATGTCGAAACCTCCCTGACCCGCATTCTCCGGCGCAACAGGTAGTCTGTTAGGCTGCGGTTCCGGTTCCTCATCCGCTATTGCCATCCCATCTTCCGCAGCAGCACTCGGTCCGAACAGCCCATCTTCAGGACTCGAACTGCCTTGCATTATTATCGCGGGCACATATACCGCTTCGCCATTCGCAATGCCACCAAATGACATGTCTCCAAGCGCACCGAAATTGGCGGGCGGCAGATTTGCAGGAGGCGGTATAATGTCTGGTGGATTGGACTCCGACATATCGCTTCCCCAAGGTCCGGCATTAAACCCCCTCGGGAACTTTTCCAAAGGCCCCCTTCCGACGGGAGCATGCTGCGGACCAGCTATTTGCTGCATGTTCATCGGACTTGCTTGCTGATTCATAGCAGCCCCCGATTGAAGGTATGATATATGTGCATCAAAATTCCTTTTATGAGCTGCCGAGTTTGGGGGCAAGGTTTCCGGTGACGCCTCTTCCGAGAAATTTGGAGCGCCGGGCTTTCGTGGCGCTACATGCTGAAGCATGGTCGTAGGTGTGCGGACCTTTCGCAAAGTTTGGAATATATCAGCGCGACGGGAGAGCTCGAGGAGGATCTGCTTCGATTTCTCGAGCGGCGACACGCTGGGGGAGAGCTCGAAAACGTAGTCGAGAGATTTCCAAATGCGGCGTTCATGATAATAAGGCTCGGCAGTATATAGCTCGGAATACAGAAGCAGCGCAACGTGGTACTGTTGAAAGGTTCCTAGGGATCGTGCTCAGCAGTTGAAGAATACTTCCTTTGAAGAGCTGAAGAAACTTACCGCCATACCATGCCCAGGTTTTCAATAATGGTGTGGTATCGATCTGAATGGCAGCTTCTAGTTGCCCAAGCCCTGAATTGATCAACAACTGCCGTAACCGATCTGGCATCGTGAACAGCTGATTTCCAGAGTAACGATGTAAGACGTTAATATACATCCTCAATGTGAGGATTTTATACGCAAGGTACGCGAAGTACTGAAGCGGTTTCGTCCGGTCAAACAAATGCATGTACTTCTTCTCCGACTTCGTGAGGAAATTTTGGATCTTTCGAACCACCGTCGTGAGGTTCGTTCGCTTCTGTTCCAATTTAGTCTGCTCGACCCAAATCCGGCGATGCATCTGATTGCACTCCATGCGCATGAGAGTCAGCGTCATATCCGTCCAGCGATCTTCATCTTGCGTCGGCGGATTGCGCGACTCCAAGTCCACGTCATCCACATTCAGTGGGAGTCTTGTGTCATAATCTTCCCGTCGTATTTGAGGGCGCGGTCCCACAGCATCAGCAGTTCGGATGTCCAAGAAACAGATTTGGTGCCAGATGAGACGTCGCACATGTAATTGAACAGGTACCAGGCCGTAGAGGGAGCCATCTCGATGCAACCCCATCCCCTCTGCGATCCGAATTGCAGTTCCCGTGAGCGCCGAATGTGCTCTTGAGATCTCACTTCTGCACATCGGAATGAGATACATTACAAAGGCCTGTAGGGTTTCCAGTTTGGTAGTGCGTAAGAAATGCGCCCTGGACAGCATCGTTTCTGTGCCTTCTCGGAAGTTGTCCACCAGCTGCGATTTCACGACCCCGTACTCGGATAGAACAGTCTCGCTGTCCATGCTAAGGATCGCGGAGAATAAGGTAGCTAGAACCAGGGCAGCAAACGACGCGGGCCCTTCTATGCCACCCTGGAGATGCTCCCAGAAGGTTTTGTACTGTCTTTCGAACGAAGGGCGATGTACAATGCGAGCCACGGGGTGGACAGCTTTCCAATACTGCTGCATCAGTTGATCGGCGGCATCCTTCGACGGCATATATTGCATCACCGCCGTAATTAATGGCTCGGGTGCGAAGAAGAAACTGGCTGCTGGAGCAACAAAATCAGGGCCTGGCCCGCAAGACATTTGCGACGAGAGGAATCCTGGCGGAGTGGAGGATGTCTCCGGCTCGCCATGTTCTGCCATGACCTCCTTAATAACGTATTTGAGCTATAGTGCATTAGCACGACCGCAATAATAACCATCATAAGTTGCAAAGTAAATACCTCATCTGCCAATTTTGGCCTGGCCAGCCCACCGATTCTTTCGGTGATCCTCATCTTCCCAAGCTGGATTCCCAAATCCATTAGATCATCGTCCGCATCTTCGTAGTACGCGACATCATTCGTAATGTACGGATGCGCCTCTAAGTCCCGTTCGTCCTCCGGCACGTCCTCCTCATCAAACTCATCCTCCTCTTCGTCCCCCACCCCAGGACCGACATCACCGCTCCTATTCCGCTCTACCGACGTCCGCTGCCTAGCTCTTGTCACGTCCTCTTCCAGCGTCCGCTCCAAACTCCCCATCTTCTCCTTGATCTTCGCCAGCTTCTGCTGCGCGGCAGGGTCTGGCGTCGACGCCATGAACAGGCATTGGCGCTTAGCCCTCGTGCAGTTGCCGCATGGGCTGGATTTATCGCACTTCAGCTTGCGGCGCCGGCATTCCAGGCAGCTGGTAATAAGGCGGTTGCGGCGACGAATACGGGGAGGAATGTGCGACAGCGCTGGAGAGGGTGCTGCAGGCGGGGATATTGATGAATTGGGTTGGCTGCTTGCGGCTCTCTGTGGTAGTTGCCATGCTTGCTGGCTACTCCCTGCTGGCTCTCTGCTCGTCAATCCTGGGATAGGAGGCGAACGAGGCTGCTTGGAGTCCTCATTCGTATAGCCAAGGTTTCCGGTGAACTCATCCATCATTGATGTGGACCAAAAGAGGTAATGATAGAGTGCTCCAATTGGGGGGCAATTGCCTTACGTCCGTACGGAAGAAACACGAGATACGGGCGCAAGACTTTGAAGGTGAAAAGGAAACCAATACCTCTTAAAGCCGCATATATCATGCGCCATTATACATGTGATTGCTAGATTAATTCAGTAGGTGACGCGTCGATCACTCGTGGTAACCTCGCTTGGCATCCGAGCCTGGCGATGCAAGGCAGCAACCAAGAGATGCTTGACTGAACTACCAATGGATTAACTTAACTAACTAAGTTAGTTAACTTATTAATGAGTTAGTTACATTGTGTGGTAACTAAGTTAGTAATGTTGGTAAGATACCCCCCAGTTTAGTGAGGCGCCCAGCTCCTTAGTCTTGTCTCGTCGCAGTTCTTTGAAGCTGATTTGACCATAATAGTAATTACGATGACAGGATTGTAACGGTTCGCAACGTGATGGTTATGGTGAGGCACACAACAAGCTGGGGTAAATGCGGAGGCCTAATTATCTTTCGTATCATTTGGCCTCCTCCCCGGCAGGGACACCACGTATATTAGGCATGGCTGACGAGTAATACTCTATGTTTGAAAATCTGACTCCGAGGAAAAGTACCTAATAATGGGGATTATGGCTGGGATCCCTTACTCTATGGACTTGAAACGGAGGATGATATGGAGTTACTCAAAGCATCCATTCCGAGACCTATATGATATAATAAAGTAGCGGCTTGGAGTGTCCGGAATACCTTATTATACAAACATATTTCATGGACAATCAAAGTGTGTGCCAAACGATGTTTTTACATTTCCAATGGCTCGGGTCAAATCTATATGTACTTCTTTTCCGGATCCACCTTGTCCATAAGTTCCATGGATTTCTCATACCTGCAAATATTAGTCGAGTCTGAGGCGGCGCTGCATGAAGAACTTACATCGTGAAGACAATGCCGCCGCTCAATATCAACCTTGCCAACCGTGGGACTGCCCCGGACCAGAACGTCAACATCCCCTCCTCCCTAAATATCCTCGCGGCGCAAACGAAGCTGTTCTTATATTCTTTTCGTGCCTCAATTGATTGCATTCTGAAGGGTTGTTAGCATCAGCGTTCTCCTGCTTTCAATTTTTAGGACTCACCGGGTCTTGATAGTATCCAACGGCATCGTCACATAAACCGTGATCACACCGGCCACCGCACCGATCCCGAAGGTGCTAACTGTCCCTAACTTCTCGCCAGGAGCAACGTAACCTTGCGCGATCTGGCGGAGGGTCGTATAGCTTCCAAACCTGGTCGCAGAATTCGCTGCCTGTCGAGCGGTGGTCGGTACGAAACCTTGGAAGAATCCACGAATTCCCTTTTCCCTTGCGATGACGCCGGTTCCGTGTAAGAAGCCTCTCATTCGGGGTTTCCCCGATTTGCGATCATCGATGCTGTGGCGCTTGGGTAAGCCAGTTCGTTCCAGAAGCAGTAGCGGAGGGGTGTTCTACGCACAGTTGCGTTTTTATACTCTCGAAGGGGGTGACAGCTAACATTGACTCTGTCACACCGGCACCAAAACCGGCTGCAACATTGCCTATTCTTGAGGTCTTGCCATTCTGGTCGGCCAGAAGCTCCTTGTAGTAGTCGAATGCAACAAATCCTAGGGATAAGGTGATTAGAAGGCGACGCTCTCTCCGTAGAATTGCTGGTATAACATACGGACGCCCGCCTTTATGGAGTTCCCTATGATCAGGGTCGTGCAGCCGGCGTACCATTGGGCTCCAAACGGCGGCCACGGTAGTTTCTTGCCATCGGCTAGTTGTCGGTTGAGTTGTGTTCGTGTCTTCGCGACTGTATTCTGCGTGAGCGGGTGCGGGACATCTTAATGGGTGCTGCGTTTACATTCGGCGGGATAGGTGATGGCTGCTACATATTAGTCTTTGGTGGTAGAAGCAGAGGACATGGGATAGGATGCACCAATTTCAACTGCTCCAGCGGTAGAACCAGCAATGATTGACCGTAGCACACTCGGCTATACATTATTGTCAGAAGGACTGCCCATAGCGATTGAATCAAGCGTTTCCCCGACCTTCTTCTTCTCAGCCGCCGGTATCGCTGCCATGATGATTCCCACCGCACCGAAGGATTACACAGAAAGGTTATTGAGGATCGACCGTCATTCAGCCAGCGTCATCTAAAAGGTTTAAACACAACCAGGTACCACTTCATAGAATCAATTGAAAAATGTGTAAGTAAATAGTAACCGAATAACATTCTCGGCTCCAAGTCCCAAACGCGCATCGGCGCATTCGCGTTGCTCGGGACTGGCGTCGGTCTGGCGTCAGACCCCTGCACGTGAACTAAATTTTGATATGAGGTCAATGCACAGAAATGCTTCAACGAAATGTCTGGCCTGACCGTCGATATCTGAAGCTTTTCCAACGTTGTTCAATACCAACTTCTGCTCGCGATATTCATTTCCCTTCCCAAACCGCTCCTTACCTTCCCCGCCATATTCCACCATGTTGTCGATGCGGTTAGTCGCCCGCGCTTCGCCGAGGGCGTTCGCCCAGCAGTGCCTCCGGACCTCCAGACAGGTTGCGTCTCCCTTGAGACTATCGGCCGTTCAGACTGCATGGAGACAACCGACGACGACGAGACTTGCTTCAGCGTTCTCTACTTCGTCAAGATGCTTTCAAAACGATGAGCTCGTCGCAAAACTGAGATCGGAGATCTCGTTGGAAAACGAAGCCACGGATACGGAAACGTATAAATCGGGAATCAAGGAATTCCTGGAGTCCACCCAGTTCAATGTACGATGTGCCATTTCCTCACCTCATAAACAGACACTAATTGCGAGTACAGCTCCACGATACGCCTGGTCAAGAAGAAGTTGTCCTGACCAAGAAATACAACAATGAGAAGTGCGCATCCAATTACAGCTCATATTCGAGCCTATCGCTTTACTAACCCCGATCCAGCATCCGTGTATCCTTCTCCATCGCCGACATCAACAACGCGCAACCTACCGAAGAACCCTACGACGAGGATAACGCGCTCTACGACGAAGACGGCGCCGAAACCTCCGAATACGCCCAAGAGTCCCGCAGCAACAAAGGCGCCATCAACAGCTCCACCCGCTCCGGCCCCGCCTCCACCGCCCCCGAAGACCGCCTCGCCCCCGCCGACCGCGAGGAGCTCGACGAGGACGACTTCGAGGGCGAGGAGGGCCAGGACGTCACGTTCCCGTGCCAGGTGAACATCCAAGTGACGCGGGACGGACATCCCGGCGCGCTGGACATCGCAGCGGTGGCGGATAGCGGCGACTTGGTAATTGAGAACGTGGCGTATTTCCCTAGCGGCGAGGTCGCAGAGGGCGCGACGAGCGAGATGCGGAACAAGCGTCGCGGGCTGTATTCCGGGCCGCCGTTTGGGAATCTGGACGTCGAGCTGCAGACGATGATGGAGAAGTATCTGGAGGAGCGTGGTGTGGGTGTGCAGATGGCGATGTTTGTCCCGGAGTATGTAGACTACAAGGAGCAGAAAGAATACGTGAGGTGGCTTGAGAGTGAGTGTTCCGTTCCGAGTACCACACTTTAACGACATGACTAACGTTGCGCAGATGTCGAGCAATTCATGAAATGATTTTCTAGGCAGGATATGGGGTCTCAGTGTGTATAATTATCTTAAAGGTGGCTTCTTAATTGTATTATCATCTTCCTTCTCTCACGTATGCCGCGCAGTCTATTACTATTGTGAATGTGCTTGTGCTACGTAAATAGGCTAGGGTGCCGAAGCTTAGTGTGCTACAATTCTATTGATGAACATGCTTGCTTCCTTTAAATGTCCCTTCGTTGCATATCCAGGAGGATAACCCTTAGACCGCATTTCTCTAATGCCAATCTTCCGACTCGTAAGGGTAGTGTGAAGCTTTCGATCATAACCAAGCTATGAAGCCAGGTATCCGCTCTCTTTTAATCCAACAGCCTAAATTCACTGGATGCGACTAGGGCTTAGGTACGTGTAGAGTCTTACTGCACATCAAGCACCCATGGATCACAAACACCCCAGCCAGGACATGGAACTCCCACCACTGTCCCTCACCAAACGCCCCTCCGGGCAACTTCTCCATAATCCAACCCTTCGAGACCCAAAACGCCATGATGCTCACCTCCATCAACGACGTCGGAATCGGCGTCCCCTCAAAATACTTGCTCTTCCCACTCGCATCCTTCGGCAACGCCGTCGCCGTCACGTTAAACCGCGCCAGCCGCGTCAGCCCGCACAAAATATAAACCGTCAGCAGCAGCTGATCGACGCACGAGCGCATCCCGATCGTGAAGGCGAGCATGGCGGGCGCGACGCCGAAGGAGATGAGGTCGGCGAGCGAGTCGAGCTCCTGGCCCATCAGCGAGGATTTCTTCCGCCAGCGCGCGACGCGGCCGTCGAGGAAGTCGAAGAAGAGGCCGAGGGCGGGGAGGGAGACGGCGAGCCAGAGGTCAGTGGCGGAGGCGGGGGTGGTGGTGCCGGCGGATTCGGAGAGACAGTAGCGGAGGGAGGAGAAGATGGACATGACGCCACAGAAGCCTAGTGCGGGTTAAGATCGCGTGAAGAGCTGGGCGGGGAGAGAACTGTACCATTGAGTTCGGTGATGAAATCAGCAAGGTGGAGGGCTCTGTGAACAGTCAGTGATCAGATTGGAATATTCATGGGCTGGCTATCGAGTAGCATACCTAATCATTGAGAAGTGGCCGGTATCGCCGCCTAGCAGCCTGGCCTGCTTCTCTATTGCTGCGACATTGTGAGTCCTAGCTATTGAACGGTGGTGTCTGTGGACATACGCTTTTCCCCGCCTGTTTTCTTTTCCATGGCTTTTGGCTCTCCGTTGGGTACCGCACGACGGGACATCGCACGCTTTCAAAATATGTGGACGACGGTTCTATCAAAGCTGAGCTGGCTAGGACGTATAGATATGGGATAGCGGATAGGGATCTTCTTCGATAGATGGCGATCAAGTTAAATCAATTGATGGGCAAAAGTTATTGAATGGCAATTGGAAGAAATAACGCAGCTTCTGAAGTTGAATATGGTGATGATTACAGGTATGAGGGAAGATGGGGTCTTTTCAAGGATTTGGAGTTGTCTTGGTGAAAACGTCATTCCCACAGCATGTGCTGCCAAGCCTGAAGCCACATGTACCAGTAGTACTTGCGGCCACAGCAGGATTTATGTTCGTGCTAGCCCGGTTTAATTAACTGGATTGTAGTCAAGGTTTCTACATTGATCTTTGTCTGGTGATCTGCTTGACTCAGAATGGTGATGGCTTAGAGGCTGGCAGCATGATCGATGCAGCCCTTGTCTAACATCTGTTTCAGAGAGATGTGGGTGTTCCGCCAGTATGAAGTCCCATGCGTCGCCTTTGGATAGTTACTAGCCGACACATAAATAATAAGGGAGTGGACAAATGATTCGGTTGAACGCCTTTTGTCGTATAGGCATAAAGTCTACAACTACTTTTGGTGATCCTCTAGCACATCATCCGCCGTTGAGGAATTGTATGAGTCCTCCAACCCTTGTCAGCTTTTCTCGCGCCCCTCTGCGGCAGATAGACTGGATAGTTTTATAAGAGGCCGAGCATACATTCGCATGCGCAAGGCGGAATTGAACTCTACCAACCCGCAAGTTCCTAGAAGGCCGTAAAACACCTTGAACTCCTGGCTCCCATATCCCATGGGTATATGCAATCGGCAATGGCGGGAGACATTCAGTATCCTCTGCCGCGAGAAGACCCTCTGAAACCGCCGCCGCCTCTGCCTCCGCCAAACCCACCGCTTCCTCCGCCAAATCCGCCGCCTCCTCGTCCACCACCTCTGCTACCGCCGCGGAAGCCTCCCGATCCACCTCTTCCGGGACCTCCACGTCCGCGAGGCGCGCCGCGGCCGCCACGACCACCGCGGAACCCGCCTCTTCCACGATCTGCACCCCCGGCCCGCTTCGGTTTGGGAGCACCTGGGACGACTGGCTTAGGCAAGAACCTGATCGACGTTAGCAAGCGCTTCGGCCAACAGATCGTCTATACATACCTCTCCAGCGGTAGAAGTTTGTCGCCCGAGATGAACACTTTGTCTCCAGCCTTGAAGGACTCGGCCTGGATGCCGCTCTCGGTTTTGATGGTAAAGTAGACTTGGTTGATCGGTCCTAGGATCTCGTCCACTTTGCCCACGGGCGCCTATAACCCTGTGAGAACATGACCCAGTATTTCACATCATATCTTCGTACCTTGTTCTCCAAGAAAATCGGCGCATTGAAATATGGAATTTTTGGATTCGTGGATTCGCACACCATCTCGCCCTCGCAGGAATGCATGAATGTGCCCAGCTCTACCAGAATGCATTAGCACATTATCTTTATACATTGCATTATTGTTCGAATACTCACCCATTACAGAAGCCGGTGGCCCGGAATTGAATCCACCTCGTCCGCCTGCACAGTCTCATTAGCCAGGAGCCGCAACACAGGCGCGCAAAAGATCCGTACCTCGATCGCCGAAACCTCCACGGCCTCGGAAGCCGCCTCGACTTTGTCCGCCGCCTCTGAATGACATGATGGCAGCTGAATTGAACGGGTCCTTGAGCTTCGAAATTTCTCACGATCTGGTTGGAGCTCCGAAGACAAAATCTGACATTGAAGTCACGGAGCCGGAAAAACTAATGCATCCGATGAGCTCCACTTTCAGCCTTACAGCTTCTGGCCAATCACAGCCACGGGATCCCAACCTCAACCACAGCAGCATGAAACGTCCCATCTTGGCCTCACACTCACCCCATGAGATATTATTAGCAGGGAAAGTTCTGATATTTCTACAGTTGATGAAGGACTCTGGACTCATCTCGTATCTCCGGGTACCTCTTGACATATATTACAGCGAGAATACGGAGTACTCCGGAAGGACTCAGGTCTCAACAAACTCCATTCCCCTGACTTCCGCCCAGAGAGATACGAACCGACCGATACGACAAATAGTCATGCAATCCTGCGCTGCGTGGTGATCACCTGGATGTCGTTGCGCTGCCATCAATCCCGGCCACATGGCTGCCCGTCGTTTATATAACGTTGTACTGGTTGAACTGGTTCACGGTCCAACCTAGCATGGGTTCTCGAAACCGTCCGGTGGTCCGGATCGTCCTCCCTGTCCATATGGCATATCGGCACTAGTACATTCCCGTAGGTATAAGGTACGACATCCGTGACTTGTCCGCTTGACGTAAACCAAAATCCTCAGCCTTGAACTTCAGTTGTCCGACCCACTTAACTAGGTACTTGAATATACCTTGACACTTGATGTTTCATATGGAATCCTCCGAGGCTCTAGAAATGCATTTCCCTAATCCAGTGCAGTCTGACATCCTCGTTGTCCATCAAGCTAATACACATCATTCGATCCCTAAATAGAGAGAGTCATCTGGTCCCGGCCAGTCGGAGAACTTTGTTGGGATCTCTAACCCTAGAATCAATATGATTTTTTTCATTAAATATGATGAGATTCCAGACGAATGGTTCCCATGGGAGACAAGAGCAGGGATATGGGATCCTCGGGATTAGTTTCCTTCTGTGTCTACCAGATCGATGCTCGTATATCGTCACCGTTCGATGTACGACAGTCGACAATAGCAACTGGGGTCGGCGTTCCCACTCGTTCCCTAGAATCGATATCCAGGGCCTATGCTTCAAGCAGTTCTAAGAGTAAAGAGGGCTGCAGAAGGATTCGGACACGTAACTAAGGCTATGCATCTTACGTACATTTGTCTCAACTTACCCATTCCTAGATATATCATTCGCCGTTATAGGTAGTCTAGACTACTTAGAGGATGGACCCCTGGCCTCCTCTCATCTATTCCCCGAGCCTCGGAGCCCCAACAATTGACAGACGTCCTAGATGCCAAACTTTCCTTCCTTGGCGAACGCCGGATCTTTTAGGCCATGCTAAGATGGCTCATCGGAATACCTGGAGTTCATCCCGTAGTCCCTGTTCTTATTGCGATCGACAAACATCATGCTATCGCGATAGAGGCACCGGCTTTCGAACCGAACCATCCCCAATTGTCGGGACTTCGGGCCAGTCCCCTCATGGATCAAGAACTTTGACCAGGGTACGTGCGAATCCTATCACCAACACACCGAGCATTGGGACCTAGTTTTTTGTGTGAGCATCATGATGCTCAGTCTCGCCGTTATGTCCTTGAGTTCTCGCCCCTTTCTCCCCTGTATCCGACTCCGCGTTATCCGCAATACGATCAAGAGACGGTCTGTGTTTGATACTGACCCGGAAGCCTCTATTCTTTTCAGTACTTGGAATTGAACTCTATCTTGCCAAAAGGGTACACATGTCGAGGAGAATATGAGGACCGCGGGTATTTAAGGGACCAGATTGCCCAAGTTGTTCATCGGCAATCGCTATCGAGTCTTTCAATTGAAATTACTTCGATATCTATTATCAAGTCATTTCCTGCCATCTATTCATCATGCGCTTTTCCAGTCACTATGCTTTACTGCTTCCAGTACTAGCAAGAGCCGCTCCAGTTGTACAATCGAATCTTGACGTATCGATTAGCACCACTGGTGCGACTGTTGACATCTCTGTTACAAATCATGGGGCTGAGGATGTCGATCTTTTCACTCTGGGTTCTGTGCTTTCGCCTTACGGCGTGAATGTAGCGGTCTCTAAAGATGGTGAGTCGAATTGCCACTACTCTCATAGATAAACTCATTGCACTGGTGGAGGTGGAGGAAGCGACAGAATGGGAATCCATTCACTCATGATTGGACTAGTACGGATTTAAAAGCTAACCTTTTCTTAGGCAAACCGGTGCGTTTCAGGGGACTGTTCGTGCGACCCAGGACCTCCAACCTTTCCGGGGCCGATTTCACGCACATTGGTTCTGGAGAAACAAAGACGAATTCCGTCGACATCAGCACCAAGTTTGATACCAGCTCCGGTGGCGAGTTCCAAGTCACTGTTTCACCCTCGCTTCGATTAGCCGACGAGGACTTCGGCCTCGGAGCCCCCATCTCGCTGCCTGCCGTTACCGCATCTGTGACTGTGACGCCAGGAGCCCTACGGAAACGTGTGCTGCGGAAATCCATATCCCCACGGCAGTCGAGCAGTCACCCCCAAGTTCAAGCAAATTGCGTGGGTGACCAGCTGCAGTCTATCGAGGCAGCCCTGGACAATGCTGCCGAATGGATCGGCAAGGCAAAAGTGGACGTCGAGAACTTGACCTCCATATATGTGGACGAGTACTTCCGCGTTCCCGTCAGCGAGACGAGTGACATTATCCGCGGAATGCTCATAGCCCGCATCGCGAACCTCGACGCCGAGTTGACCGGTACCAATAATACAACCCAAATTTACTGCGGGGATGATGATGCTATCGATTATCGAGGCCAGCCGTCTCCATGTCTGACCGTAGGAGTTGTCGGATTTGCCAATCCAGAGACGAACCAAGTTGCATTGTGCGGCCCGAACTGGGAGATTCCGGCCAGCAGCCCAGTTTGTCAAGGCCCATACCAGGATGACCAGACCACGAACATCATTCACGAGCTGATGCACTGCAATTCTGTGGGGATAGTCGATCCCGGGTTGACCGCCCCTATGGACTATGCATACACGTACGAGGAGACCCGAAGCGATGACTGGATTTATGGTGGGCTGGTCGAGAATGCGGATAGTTATGGGATGTATGCCAAAGGTGAGTTGGATTTTCGTATCTAACGAGCTGATGCCCTTCTCCGAACTAGCGTCGAGAAATTCCCCAAACAGCCTTGATGAGTGTTCACTTACAATAATATCACAGGTGTCGGTTATGAACTCCCCTCTCCTTGCCCCCCAGCCGAGACTTGATGTGGCATATTTTCGAGATCCTGCCTTTCTGAGGCGTGGCGCGTAGTGCACTGCTTTATTGTGATTGCTTCGGCTCGGCCATATTTTTCAGCATCTATTATCATCAGCATCGATTCCGGGACAACAGCTTGAGCTTGTGCAGGTCTGGGCTATTCGAAGATCTGGCACCTGAAAGGACGGCAGCTGCTTCATATTTGGTACAGTTCGTCTAGCATCTGTGTATTCCAAATTATAGTTTACTATTCAGAGAATTTCGACATTTGTTCCAATGAATTCGCTAGTCAAGTCCATTGTATAGCCTCATGGCCACCATGCATATCAGGTTCCAAGCCTCATAATTCCGCTTGTCTACGTCTTTCGAAAACCTGCCAAGGGAGTCCAGTCCACCGCCGGGGAGTTGCGATGCACTTTTATTTCTAGCACTGATGTCATTGACCAGAAACTTTCCATCCTCCATCTTCAGTCTGTGTGGTGGCATGTAGCATTGGGCATCCAGAAACTTCTCGCCAAGTGTACCCGCATGATTGGTCCGAAGGGATGGATACCTTAGTTCCAAGCTACAACTCGTCTTTTAGAAGGATGGGGTAGTGCCCTGCCAAACCCGGTGATACTATAACAAGAGACACCTCCTTCGTGATAGGACTGGTATAGAGTGTGGTCAGAAAATTCAATTCCAGTCTCATCAGTGCGCCCTTCCGGGGGAAAATGCGGCAGTGTCTCGTCTAAGGAAACTGCATGAGGACATACCGGTGAAAAATAGACCAGTCTTATGAGCAGAGACCCGATATGGGCCACCATCAGGGGCTGATCCTCTCTCCAGCATGAGGGTTCCATGCGACCCACGGCCTCAGGATTTGCATGTCGCTGGGTAGTGGCTAGGATGAGTATCTAGCCCGATTCGACTCAAGGCCGTTTTATTCTCTCCTGCTTGTAACCGAAGGAGTGCCGTGACATTGTCTTCTTCAGGGAAAATAATGATTGGAATAGAACCTATCCACACACGTGGTTGACACGGCTCAATTCCCTGCAGTTTGGGTACCAAGATTGTAGACGAAAGAGGTTGATATGGTGAACATCCCGTCCTTGGTATGAGTCACCTTTCTCATGATACATGCGGTGATATACCTATGCGGCAGCTCAAAGAAAATTCTCTGCGGTTCGAGGGTCTGAATGCGACTTGAGAGTTAATCCACCAGTCATGCAGGATTGTTATTCCGAATCCTCTTCAAACCTCTCTTGCGAGGATCTAGAAGGGCGCAGGTTTCTGAAATCGCGGTCGGCATGATTTTTTCTGCCCCTGTCTTGATCCCGCCGTCGTTGGTTTTCTTTATCGGTATTTTGATCGGCATCCATATTGCTAGGGAATAGTTAATCTAGCGTTCGATGGTGTTTATCAGCGGTCCCAAAAGGAAGAGGTATGACAAGATCACTAGAAGAATGGATCAGTACCTGTCATGATTCCTCCCACCGTCCTTCTCGTCGTCGTTGTCATCCTCATTATTATTGTTGTTGTAGCCGTTGTAGCCGTTGTAGCCGTTGTAGCCGTTGTAGCCGCTGTAATCATTGTAGCTATTTTTGTAGCCATGGCTGTTGCTGTTGCTATTGCTGTTGCTATTGCTGTGGTTGTAGCTGTGGTTGTAGCTGTGGTTGTAACTGTTGTGGTAACTGTTGTTGTAATAGTCCTGGTTGTCATCACGCTCGCCATCATTGCCTTCCCTATCATCCTTCTTTTGGTGAATGCTATCGCGAGTTTGTCGTCCCTCAGTTCGTCCGACCGATATGCTTGGCTCCCTGCTACACTTGTAAAGAACTCTCCTAGACGCAAGATTAGAGGGTGGGGCAAACCGTACGCGCGAACACTCCCGTCTTCATAGGTCCGGAAATGTTGGACAATGTCGGAAATGTAGTAGCGCTGCTGTAGGATTGGATCCCACTTCCAATCCCGATTTTGCTGTGCTGCCGCCATAACTCGGTTCGGTGACGGGTTGACTGGACATGCTGGAGGTTCATCTGAATCTTCCAGGTTTGATTGCCGCTGCCATGGTTGATATAAAGTGTGATAATAGGTTGCCTTGTGACCTGCCTCATCCCCAGCCTGATGAGGCTCTGCCTTGAATGCCCCGCATCGCGACAGACAGACAGCAATATCAAGAGCAGACTGGGGGCCTGCAATGATAGTACGAAAGGCAAGCTAGGGTGAACAACAAGCAACATGGGCAGACTAATATTAAAGGGCGCCTTAATGTCATATGACCCTAAACTCCAGTGACGTGGTAGCAGTGAAAACCAACAGAACAACGTGCCCCAGCAAATGAAATGGTGATACACCCAGTTGAGCGGTAGCACCCACCTCCTGCAAGAATGCCCGTGTTTCCCGAGGCAACACCAAACACGATCTAATTGATCAGACGTTTAGCACGAAGTTCTTTTTTGATGAAGCGATAAGGCTGAAGAGAAGATCAACGGACGGCCCCCCCTTTGTGTCACTTAACGCCGTCTTGGGCTTTGTTTGTTTTCTTGTAAGACCAGCTTTCGTGCGTACTTACTTCGACGAGGGTATTCCGTTTTTGTTCAGGGTCTGACATTTCAACGTTCCTCCCCTTCCATGGGCTATGATAAAATCAATTTCGCTCTTGGTTTGACATACTTGAGGCACATATTTGAGTGGGCAAGATGGTAGACGAAGTGGTCGAGTGGAAGGCGTGGAGGGACTATTCCACAGGAAGTTAGTCTGCCCTCTCCTGGTCCTGTTCAGTTCTGTTCACCAATCCAATACTGGTGCTTGACAACGGATATGGAATCGTTAATGACATTCTAGCTTCCAAATTCTTACTGAATGACGACTGCGCAACGATATTCGTCGCCATTTCTGCTATATGTTTTACGTTGTGCGAGCCCTACCTGTTCAGGATTTTCCGAACAATATACCTTGCGAGACTAAGAGGGATTCGCTCGGGAAGCTTTTTGGCCTGCCTGAAGAACCAATTCAAAAAGCACTACCCCAAGCGTTTCGGCAAAGGTAACAGAGGCAGCGACCCGGAGACCATTCCTGTCTTACACGATGCCAGCCTATCAGCAGGGCGTGCAGACCCGGACGGCAACAAGAGCTTGGATGGGGTAGCGGCCCTTTATCAGCGCTCGACGGGAGGCCGAGATTACATATGGAGATTTCTCTCAAACGGGAATGGAGCAGTTGCTGAAGGCTACATCGTCTTTTTTGTTATACTAGGACGTTTTGCATTCTGGACATGGTTCACTCTATTCGTTGCAGGCAAAATTAAGCTGGACGGGACAGCCGTGTGGTCATCCGATGTCTGCGGACCTTTCGAATTCGATAGTCAAAATGCCGGCACGGGCGCCTCGATCAGAGAAGGTATCATCACCCGCGAAAAAGAATCGAGGGCAGGAGAGTACGCGCGTAGCTGTTATGTGCAGCCGGAAGTCTACAGCTCTACCCCGTGTGACTTCTTCGCGGCCCCGGCGATCAACTATACCATCGAAAAAACGTACGAAAAGTGTCCTTTTGCGGAACGAAGCGTGTGCATGCCCCGGCAGCAATCTATCACATTCAGTACAGGCCTGGTCAGTGCTGATCAGATGGGTATTAACACTCCAAGTCCCTATCTATTCAATCGGACGACTTCCTGTGCACCCCTGAGCCAGAGTGAACGTTTTGTGCGGAATGAAACCATTGATGGGGTCACCTATTATTACTATCATTATGGGCAAATTGTTGATCAGGACTCCAATCCTCCTGGCGTGATAACCGATTACACGTACTACACAGCGGGCAATCCAATTAACTCTTCTGTCGCCGCATATGACCTCGTGTGAGTTCTGGCTCCACTCATTGGTACCTAGGAATAGACTAATATTAACCAACACAGGACGGAGGCTACCTCCTGGACCGAAGGTGTGGATCCATGGGTTCCAGTGCCGGAACTCAAGCCTCCCGAAGGTGCAACTGTGACTATCGTCTTCGTATCCGCGTTACGTATCTTCTACGAGGAACATAGTAGTGATGCTATATTTCCTGCGGACGGAGACATCCCTTGGGGACCCGACGACAAACCCTGGTGGTGGAAAACAGACCCAAGAGCACGAGCATTCGCCTGCGTCGACGAGACCCACGTGTGTAAGCCCGACCGCCAAACCTGTTGGACCATGGTCGACGATGAGGGAAGGAGGGTCTCTGAACCGGACTACTGGTTCATGAGGCTGTCTCTATTATACTCGAACATCTACGATACAATATCTCGTCGTCTTGGAATGGCACTGCTTGCTCAGCGAAGGATCTCGGGTTATAATTCCGGACCACTAGAAGATAACCATTGGATGAGCGAGGTCGAAATGCTTTTCAGCACGTCCCTTGCCCGGATTCAATTTGACGCCTGGTCAATTGCTAGTGGTGAGGGTCATGATCGCGACGGCTATATCGATGGCACGCCCCTCGAGGCCGGACCTCCTGGAAGCTTATGTGGGCTGTTCAAGTTCAAGACTCGAAGTCATAAAAACATCAATTTGGTATGGTTCATTGCTGCTGTAGCCCTTCTCCCGTTTCTATGGTTCATCACACTTGAGGGTGATAACTCGTTCTTCAGTTGGGCTTGGGGGTGGCTGAAGCCTTTCATTGCAAGTCTATACTGCTATTCTTCAAAGACTTCCAGTTCTAGCTCTGCAGTTGAGGCTACTAGGCCATCCGGCTATAGCACCTTCAGGAGTGACTCGAATACGAGAGGCCAAACAAGTCCTCCCGCATCGCGGCATTCAGCCTACAGTTCGGGTCGCCAACGACAAAGGCCAGAAGGGCAGCACCAGCCAAATGTGGTAACATCTCTTTTGTCAAATACTGCAGCAAATGGGACGCTAGGGACCCGGCTTAATACTCCGGAATCAAGAGACCATGACAACAACCCGCAGACGGAGGTGGATGACGTCCAAAACCAATCAGACACAGAATCGGATGTAACTGAGCAGCCCATATCAGGGCCGGAGGACCGAGCTTCCGACGACCGCAGTGGTGGTTCGGTGCATCCTGAACTCAAGATCGAATGGAGATATCTGGTGTTGGACGTGGCTATCGAGGCCTTGTTCTTACTTCCAGGCTGGATATTGACTTCCATCAAGCATTGTACCCGCCATTGCGCAAGTAAACGAAGTCAATCGGCTCGAGAGAGCAACCAGTGAGCAAGATGAGAAGTGTAACAGAACATAGGAGTCTGAAAATTCAGCGCAAGTCATGACTTTTTTGGCTGTTTATTGGGAAAAGAAAGACAGACATTAGGCTACCATAACGGCTACTTCCCCTGATTGCCCCTGGGAGGCGGCTTTTTTGCAGCAAGAGACTGGAAATTTTGATCAAGGGCGAACCGATCCGGCATTCGGACAAATATCAAATGTCCGATTCGGAGTACCTTCCAGTGAGACTATTGCCATCCAAGCTGATTTGAACGCAAAAGAGGATACCCTTCTCGAGGCAGTACCTCTGACTAGTCCTTCAAAAGTGGAAGAAACCAAATCATGGTAAAGCGCACGTGATTCTAGGTCTGCGAGGGCGGTAAAATGTACTTCTGAACACCTCAGTTGTCAGGTACTGGTATGTTATGTATGAAGATTTTCGGACTGATGGTATCGAGAGGAGATGTGACCCACAGACCCTATTGATGATTATGCGACACGGCGGGTATTTGCTCCATTAATCCCAGCCATTCTATACACATATCATACTATTCACCATTTCAGGCGATATCCAATGTCACCATAACTGCGGCATTTAAATGCCGAGGGATGCCAATTCCCACCGAATTCTTCCAGAATATAGAAATCCAGCTGAATCGGCTTCTGTAGCTTCCAACCGGAGAAGTTATCCACCGGTCCAAATCAACCCGCGGACAGTTTAGCCAACAGCTAACGTGGAGTGAAGGGCCGGATGACCGCACCTTTTGTCGTTATCGTCAGCTGATATGCGCTCTGCCGTAATTGCAAAAAAGGGCATCGTCTTCTTTAACCAGCGACCGACATGGTCCTGCAGATGAGGATCACATCGTCCCACTCTTCCCACGCATTTGTGATATTCGCCATGGGTTATGTCCGGGCGTTTTTCGGGACCTCAAGGCACCGTCATTCTCTTTATAAGATCGTGTGGCCCGCACCTGCATTTCTGCCAATTGCGTATCGCATTAGGCGCTCCAAGTTGTCCCGAAGCTCGTCGGCGTGATTAGGGAAGGGCGGTCTCGTCGTCTGAACATGAACGTTGTCTTGATATACGCGTATGGGATATTGCGCTTCAGTGAGCGGTCTCTGATTTTTCACCGGACTGATCGGATTCCGATTTGGGATACCGTTGCTTAGGATCCCATATGGACTCGGTACTATTACCGACATTAAACCACTTTCGGATCTATAGTAGCAATGTCAGCTAGCGTCATTGATCTTAGAGATGTGCCTTACTCCTTGGAATGGCTGCTCCTCTGTCTCTCGACCTTTTGTAGGTAACTCTAAGAAGAGAACACCATATACCAGGATGCCTGTCGTTTGTTAATGGATTGTGGATGGGACGGAACCATCGACTCTTACTTATGATGATACCCCATTGACTCAACTGGAGGAGCTTCATGAAGTTCGGGCGTGCCCATTTCAGGTTCGTTCTTCTCCTATATCTCCGCTCGAGCCGGAATTGATGCTTATTGGAAAGGTTGGAGAAGTCCGGTGGCCAGATCTTTTTGGCCTTGTATGGGTTCGTCGCATGATTAAATTGCGACTTGATGCTTCTTCGGACCAGAGAAGGGAACATTCTGCTGGTAGATTTCGCTGTCCAAAGTACCGGTATATAGCAAATGCCCTTTGATGGTCAATGGTCGATATCAAAATGTGAACTGTGGTGAAGTTTGGAAAGGTCCATAGAACGAAACATGCGATGATCAGAATTCACACCACTCAGACTCAGATAATTATTCCACTGATTTGAGCTCGACGCTCGGACCACCATCAATCAATCATCAACGTCGAAATGAAATCGAAATTTCGAAACTCTGTAACTTCTGTATGAATGGCCTTCGTGAGTCACTGACGCACTCGTTGAACGCCGCTCGTCGGTTTACCCGTTTCCTCCCAACTACTCAAATCAGGATGGCAACCGTAAAAGTTGCCGTCGACGCTCTCGACCCGAGCAACAGCTCGAAGAACACTCTCAAACTCGAAAACGTATGTGATCGATGCTCGAGTCACGATGGCAGGGCTGTACTGATAATTAATAATGCAGACCGAGAAACGAGACAACCTCATAGCCATCGAGAAGAAATACCAGAAAGTATGGCAGGACACCAAAGTCTTCGAGCCGAATGCCCCAACACTGGAGGAGATCCCATTCCAGTCATTGTCAAACCAGCAGATGCACGAGAAGAACCCGAAGTTCTTCGGATGTTTCGCATACCCATATATGAATGGTGTTCTACATGCGGGTCACTCGTTCACGGTGAGCAAGGTTGAGTTTGCAGCAGGATGGGCGAGAATGCTAGGAAAGCGAACACTCTTCCCCCTTGGATACCACTGCACCGGTATGCCGATCAAGGCGTGCGCAGACAAGCTAGAGCGCGAGATCGAGCTGTTTGGTAAGGACTTCTCAGGGTACGACGCGGATGCGGAGGAGGAAATAGCGCCACCTGCTCCTACCGAGGCGGACACAAGGGCGGACATCACCAAATTCGTCACCAAGAAGAGCAAGGCAGCTGCGAAAACCTTAAATATGAAGTATCAGTTCCAGATCATGATTGCGTTGGGCATTCCACTGGAGGAGATCCACAGATTCGCCGACCCGCAGCATTGGCTGAACCACTTCCCCGGCTACTGCAAGGAGCACCTCATCAATTTCGGCGCGCGGATCGACTGGAGACGAAGCTTTGTTACTACCGACCGAAACCCTTACTACGATACTTTCGTGCGATGGCAGATGAATATCCTGAAAGAGGCAGGGAAGATCAAGTTCGGAAAGCGATACACGGTCTATTCTCCGAAGGACGGCCAACCGTGCTTGGATCACGACCGAAGCTCAGGAGAAGGTGTTACGGTTCAGGAGTACACCGCCGTGAAGATGAAGGTCTTGGAATGGTCAGAGAAAGGCAAAGACATCGTTGCAGGAAAGGTTCCTGAGAACGCGAATGTCTACTTCCTCCCGGCTACTCTGCGACCGGAAACGATGTACGGACAAACATGTTGTTTCGTCGGGCCAAAGCTCGACTACGGCATCTTCAAAGTCTCCGAGACCGAATACCTCTTCTGCTCCGACAAGGCGGCGAGAAATATGGCTTTCCAAAGCGTCTTCCCCGAGTGGGGCGTGTTCCCCAAAGTCGCGTCCCTGCAAGGCTCTGATGTCGTCGGAACTCTCGTCAATGCACCTCTCTCTGTTCACAAAGATGGAGTCAGGATTCTTCCCATGGACAGCGTAAAAGACACCAAGGGGACTGCTGTTGTTACCTGCGTGCCATCGGACAGCCCGGATGATTTCGCAACAATCCGAGAGCTTGCGAAGAAAGCGGAATTCTATGGTATCAAGAAGGAGTGGGCCGAACTGGAGATTGTCCCAATCATTGAGACACCATCGTTGGGTAACTTGGCCGCGCCGGCTCTTGTAGAAAAGATGAAGATCAACTCACCCAAAGATGTCAAACAGCTGGCCGAAGCGAAGGAGATTGCGTACAAAGAAGGGTTCTACCAGGGAAAGTTGATCTACGGCGAATTTTCTGGGAAGCCGGTCTCCGAAGCAAAGTTGCTCGTCAAGCAGCAGCTGATCGATTCCGGAGATGCTTTCAACTACGCTGAGCCGGACGGAGTGGTCATGAGCCGGTCTGGCGATGTCTGCACAGCGGCGTTGTTGGACCAGTGGTATATGAACTACGGCAAAGCCGAGAATGGCGGAGATGGTCCGTGGTGTAACAAAGTCCTTGAGTGGGTGCAACACGGGCTCAATACCTACTACCCCGAGTGCAAACATCAGTTCGAGCAGACTCTAGGATGGTTGTCACAGTGGGCGTGTGCTAGGTCTTATGGTCTAGGAACAAAGCTTCCATGGGATCACAACTTCCTCGTGGAGAGTCTCAGCGATAGTACGATCTACCAATCCTATTACACAGTAAGCTCCAAACCCCTACTAGTAACGTCTGCCAGATGGTAACAGTTCAGGTCGCGCATTTCCTTCATTCAGATATCTACGGCGATACCCAGGGTTCTGGTAAGATCAAGCCGGAGCAAATGACCGACGAGGTTTGGGACTACGTTTTCTGGAGAAATGGCGACGTCAAGACCGACATTCCAATGGACACGCTGAAGGCAATGCGCCGAGAGTTCGAGTATTGGTACCCGGTCGATGTCAGAGTGTCTGGCAAAGATCTCATCCAAAGTAAGTTACCTTCGGGAATATTTCCGAGTGCAGTCTGACAATACTCTAGACCATCTTACTTTCTTCCTCTACGTTCACGTTGCTATCTTCTCGAAGGAACACTGGCCGCGTTCCATCCGTACCAACGGGCATCTTCTGCTCAATGGCGAGAAGATGAGCAAGAGCACAGGCAACTTCCTCACCTTGGACGACGCAGTCAAAAAGTTTGGCGCCGATGCTACGCGAATTGCCCTTGCGGACGCCGGCGATGGCATTGAGGACGCAAACTTCGACGAGTCGGTCGCGAACGCGAACATCCTCCGTCTATACGAACTGAAGAAATGGATCGAAGAGATGATCCAGGAAGCCAAACTTGTGAAGGATGCTACCGAGTTCGTCGCGGTTCGAGACGCCGGAAAGTCCAAGCAGACGGACGTCGTGCAACGAACCGGCGAGCTCGCCTTCTTCGACAAGCTTTTCGAGAACGAGATGAACGACCTCGTCAACCAGACCCGCCAGCAGTACGACGCGACGAACTACAAAATCGCGCTCAAGACCGGCTTCTACGACTTCACCGGCGCACGAGACAGCTACCGCGAGTCCTGCAAGACCGCCGGCATCGGCATGCACCACGATCTCATCCGCCGCTACGTGGAGCTCCAAGCCCTCCTCCTCACCCCCATCGCGCCGCATTTCAGCGAGTACCTCTGGCGCGAGGTGCTCAAGAAGCCCGAGACCGTCCAGAGCGCGCTGTACCCCCCCGCCACCAAGATTGACCCGTCCCTCAGCACCATATCGACGTACATCAAAACCACGTCGTCGAACATCCTCTCCGCTGAAGGCACGCACATGAAGCGCGTCGCGAAGGGCAAGAACGTGCAGTACAACCCGTCCAAAGATAAGCGGCTCTCGATCTTTGTCGCGGGCGCGTTCCCCGCCTGGCAAGAGAAGTACATGGAGCTGGCGCGGCAGGCGCTCGAGGGCCTCAGCATCGACATGAAGAAGCTGACCCCGAACATCGCGAAGCCCGAGATGAAGAAGGCGATGCCGTTTGTGCAGGGGCTGAAGCGCCGGCTTGATTCGGGGGAGACCGCGGCCGCGGTGTTCGACCGCGAGCTTGGGTTCGATGAGATGGCGGTGTTGCGAGAGATGGCGCCCGGGTTGAAGAAGACGGTGCAGAAGTGCGTGCAGGTGGTGATTATTGGGGTGAAGGAGGGGGAGAAGTTGGGGACGGTGGTGAACGAGGATGGGAGTGAAGGGGAGAAAAGGGAGGTACCGCCGAATGCGGAGTCGGCGGTGCCGGGGAATCCGGCGTTTTTCTTTGAGAATGTTTAGATATGGATGCGAGAACTTGCTTGGTCCGTAGAAAAGTAGATTCATACAGCTGATCGATCTTATCTGTCTGGCCAATGTATGATAGAATGCATTTCCATGCTTTCAACCCCTATCTACCCGGTGAACCCCTCTCTACTACGAACCAGTCTCCTAACCCCCCTTCTCCCACAACTTCCTTCCCGCTGCCCACGTCTGCACCACCTCGCCCTCCTCCGTCAACACCACAAAATCAGCCCTCCTCCCCCTCTCCAACCTCCCCCGATCCTCCAACCCCATCATCTCCGCCACATTCTCCGTCACGCACCGCACCGCCTCCGCCACTCCACACCCGCTCCACCGCACCAAATTCCTCACCCCCTCCTGCAGACTCAAACACCCGCCCACCATGATCTCCGTCCCCGCGACCGTCACCAATGCCCCCCGCTTCTCCTGCGGCTGCGGGATCTGCGCGTGCCCGGGATAGACGCCGTCGGGCAGCCCCGCGAGCTCGACGCTGTCGGTGATGAGGATGCATTTGGCGGGGTTGGCGCGGTAGAGAAGCGTCGCGATCGAGGGGTCCAGGTGGTGGCCGTCGGTGATGAGGGAGTAGTAGGGGTTGTTGATCGCTGGTGCGGTGATGAGGCCGGGGAGGCCGGGGTTGCGGTGGTGGAGAGGGGACATCGCGTTGAAGACGTGGGTTAGTGCGGTGGCACCGGCGGAGAGGGCGGAGAGGCCATCGGAGAAGGTGGCGGTGGAGTGGCCGAGGGAGACGCGGGTGTTGTTGGCAGTGAGGGTGCGGATGAGGGGGGTGGAGGAGGGGAGTTCGGGGGCAAGGGTACAGAGTTTGATATTTTTTAGATTGGCCTCCCCGTAGATGGTTTGGGGTTCTGTGGTGGGTTGCTGGAACAAGAATTCGTTGTGTGCTCCTTTCTTTGAAGGGTGGAGATAAGGGCCTTCGCAGTGAGCCCCGAGAAGGGTTGCTCCATCAGGGATGGATCGTGGTCGTAATGAAGGAAGGATCTGAAAAGAGACATGTTAAGCAACAGCGGCTCAAACCTTAATAGACTCCTGATCAAACCTGCAGTTCAAAATATGGCATAACATAATAGAAAGAAACTAGAATGCACGACGAACAAGTACAGGATGAAACGAGAATCCTCTTTACCTTCTGGAAATCATCTGAAGATACTGTAGGAATGGTGGCCCAAAATCCGGTCACACCTTCAGTCACATAGTACTTTGCCGTATCGTCCAGCCGTTGCTGGTATTGCTCAGCATCCTCAAAATGAGTGAAGTGAAATCCATTGACGCCATTCGTCTGCAGTTCTAGGAAACCGGGTGCGATGATCCCTTCCTCCAGATCCACGATCTCGCCGCCAATATAACCGGTTCGGTGTAGGATCTTCCCCGTATCTTCCGATACCACAAACTGATCTTCGACCAACTTCCCGTTGATGCAGAGGCGGCAGTTCGTGAACGTGGTGAACCAGCCGTCAGCCATGGTGATAAGGGGGAGCGGGAATATGCCAGGATCTGTAGCAATAACCGGAAAATAAGGACAGAGTTTGTCTCTATACCAGATGGGTACTTGGGATTCGATTCGGCTGTAGCGGTAGAATCACAGTAGGTCATGTCTGATCTCACCAGTGTAACTTGATGGATGTGATTCCCCCACTAGAGACATCATCATCATGGCAGGGATGAGGGTGGCATATCCCTGTGCACATCATCAGGAAGCTTGATACCTATCCTGTCCAAGTCTCAACTCCAAAGGTCTCAACGACAAATTAGCAAGGCATGGAGTGGCGACATTCAAATAGCTGGAATTTGTATGATGCATCCATATAGCTGCAGTGATATAAATGAAGCCGGAAAGAAATGCGGCGATAAGGCGACGATTGGGCAGTTAAAGGCACTAGCAACGCGAGATCGAGATTCGTGGGGAAGGCGCCAAGAACCACAATTGGCGCTCTGGGGCAGCTACATGATTGACGTCATACAAAGATCGCTGGTGTTGGAGCTCCAAGTGTTTGACCGACTCCAGTGATGCCGTCCATTGCTCCCTCTTCACCAAACCACTGCATCATTTATATGCGAGTGTTCCACAGCTGGAAACCTGTTAATGCAGGTCAATTCCTTCCTATATCCCTCAATCTATCCTCATTTCACATCTCCCTTCCCTTTCCCTCCATCAACCAAGCTCCAAGCTGGTGATATCCTCCGTCTCAAGCTTGTTCCGTAAGGGTCGAATACAGTGAACATGGCAGGTGGACCTCCAGAGCAGGAGCAACACCTCCCCGGAGGGCATTATTCCGGGAGAAATCCTGTACCAACTATCAATCAATTCCTTCGGAGTCTCGACAGTGAAAAGACGGAGAGAGACAAGCGGATTGATGCTGAGCTGGCCCAGAAACGCGAGAAGCTGATGAGCCAGAACGAAACCAATCAAGATGTAAAAGCCCATGAGGTTGAGGCCCCAACTACGAAGGCTGCGCAAAAAAGAGTCACGGATCCTACAACTGGCCGGGAGGTGGTCATTGAAGATGTTGGGAAAGATACCTATAAGCTAGTCGAGGATCCAATCGTAAGTAGGCTCCAAATGTTGTGGTATCCATGCATCCACTAACCGTTCTATAGCTCTCGGTCCCGAATGCAAATCTCGGTAAAGAGACAGTACGTGGGCACAATTGTCCGCCTGGAAACTGAGCTAATAATGACATAGCATATCAAAACGGACTCTTCGCAACCATTGGAAGAATACAAGGAAAACCAAGACGTCACTGCACCTCCCGATCCAGTTGCGGAGGGCACGACATCCGATGTACCCATCCACGGCGAAAAGACAAACGTTCTGTTCCATCCCACCCCGTCAGTCAGTTATGAGCCTACCTTCAAGGTCCTCGAAACACGCGCCAACGCATTGGCGATCGGCATTGTCCTTGCAACTGTCGTTGTTGGCAAGTTGTTCGGCGGACGGTTGCTCGGATTGATTCCTCTAGGCTTGTGCCTTGGTACTGGCGTGTTCCTCTGGGCAAAGGAGGTGATCCGCAGTGGAAGAGAAGTAGAGTGGGAAAGCGAGAAACAGCGAGGAGAAGTAGCAACGTTGAACTTGCTTCCCGAGTCTACCGAGTGGCTGAACACACTTCTCGGGATTGTTTGGGGCATGATGGATCCCGACATGTTCACTGCCGTCGCAGATACCCTTGAAGACGTCATGCAGGTGTCTGTCCCAGGTGTCATTGAGAATGTCCGAGTTGCCGAGATCAATCAGGGAAGCAACCCCCTCCGCATTCTAAGTCTCAGGGCTCTTCCAGATGGTCATATGAAAGAGATGAAAGACTCGATTCACGAAGAGAACAAGAAGTCCAAGGATCCACAAGAGGCTGCCGCTGATGAAGAGGGTGGGGATTATTACAACCTGGAAGCCTCCTTCGGATACCATGCATCACCTAGTGGAAAGCGAGCATCGGACAAGGCACGCAACATGCATATGCAGCTCGTCTTCTACCTCGGAATCAAAGGTCTCTTTGGAGTGCCACTGCCCATCTTTGTCGAGCTTCAAAGGTTGGTCGGCACTGTTCGATTGCGGTTGAACATGACCCCCGAACCACCATTCCTGAAGACAGTGACCTTTACCCTGATGGGTGTTCCACAAGTCCAGGCTGGTTGCATCCCGATGGTGGAGAAAGGCGTCAACATCTTAAACCTGCCACTGATCTCGAACTTTGTCAATTACGCCATCAAAGCAGCCTCGAGCATGTATGTCGCTCCGAAATCGCTCACTATCGATATGCGGGCCATCTTGCAAGGCGACGATATTCAAAAGGACGTCCAGGCTCTTGGAATTCTCTGGATCCGTATCCATCGTGCCATCGGTCTCAGCAAGCAAGACAAGCGCGGTAGCAAACATGGTGGAAGTGACCCATACATCACGCTTACCTTCTCGAAGTATGGAAAGCCAATGTGGTGCTCCAGAGTCATTACCGATGACTTAAACCCCATCTGGGAGGAAACGGCGGCTTTGCTGGTCACCCCCGAACTCATCAAGGCAGCTGAAAACTTGAGCGTTGAACTTTGGGATAGCGATCGTCACTCGGCTGACGATATTGTCGGCAAAGTTGAGCTCTCGATGCAAAAGATGATCCAACATCCGGGTAAGATGTACCCTCAGGTGTCTAAGCTGGCCGGTATGGATTCCGACAGCACCATGCCCGGGGAGCTACACTGGGAGATCGGATATTTTGGTAAACCACAATTCCGGTCTGCTCTTCGTAGCGATGGCAAGAATCGATCCCTACCAAAGGAGCTCCAGGACAACCCGGAATTCCAGGATGACAAGGGTACAACCAACACCGCGACGGACGATGCGGTGAAGACCACACCTCCTGACCCACTCTGGCCTAGCGGTATCGTCAGCGTGGTTGCCCACCAGATCGTCAACCTGCAGCTCGAGAACATTAAGGGCACTTCAGGCAGCCGAAAGAACCGAGAATACGAGCCTGCGAAACCGTATGGAGAGACCACGGAACAAGAAGGCAAGAGCTTGCCAACTTCATACTGCACTATCCTCCTAAACGATGAGTTGATCTACCGCACCCGCGCAAAAGCCGTGTCCAGTCAGCCCATCTTCAACGCAGGAACGGAACGGTTCGTCCGAGATTGGCGGTCTGCCCTTGTCACCGTAACCGTCCGTGATCAGCGAAACCGTGAACACGACCCCATTCTGGGCGTTGTGCCGCTGAAGCTGTCCGACGTCCTAGAGACCAGCTCACAGGTCACTCGCTGGTATCCTCTCGATGGCGGCGTTGGTTTCGGACGCATCCGAATCTCCCTGGTGTTCCGCAGCGTTGAAACGAGACTGCCGCCAAACATGCTAGGCTGGGACGTTGGAACATTCGAGTTTACCTCCCCCCAGGTCCTCGCGATCGGCTATCAACATGCTGCTAAACTTAAGCTCCGTACTGGAGGTAGCATCGGCCAGATTGGCAGGTCTAAATGCGAGAAATTGCAAGAAGGCGACGGATACTATTGGGACGTCAACGAGGTCGACGGTCAGAAAGCCGTCCAACTTCCTGTCAAGCACCGATACCGTTCACCCGTGGTGTTCGAGCTCCATATTTCCGGCAAGAGGAAAGCCGACGCCTATGCGGCCGTCTGGCTGCACCATCTCGTCGACAACGAAGACTCGCCTATCAACGTCCCTATCTGGCAAACCGCCGCCCCGGCCCGCCTGACGCAGAACTACATTACGGAGGACAATTGCGCGAACGAGAAAGGCCTTGAAGACCTCAAGGAAGTCGGCCGTCTCCAGTTCCGCGCTCGATTCAAGGCCGGAATGGACGAGTCTCACCAGGCGTTCATCTCAGACAACGACACCCGCGAGACGTACGAGACCTGGGAAGCCTGCCTCGCAGAAGGCGTACGCACGCGGCAAGTCGAGAAAGAAGTTCCGGATACGGTGCAGGTGCTGCATGAGCGTAGCTTGACGGAAGGGCGAGATGTGTTGAAGGCCGCGTCGGAAGAGGAAAAGAAGAAGTGGATTACCAAGGACGGGACGGATTGGAGTGGCGCGTTTGGTGAGGACCCAGCGATGTTCATGGATGCAAAAGGGAAGATGAAGCGCCAGCCGGGCGCAGAAGCACCGCTCACGCAAGAGGAGCGCGGAGAAGCTGAGGACTATGACGATGACGATGAAGAGCACGACTCCAACGAAGATCTCGGGATCCAGGACGCCGACAACGCGCACTTCGCTAAAGAAGACGCAAATGGCGACGCGACCAAGTCGTTCATGGACGGCACCACGGACCGCAGCAGGTCCACCACGTCCGGCGGAACGGAGGACACGTCGACGAGCAGCGGGTCGACGTCGACCAAGGACGTCAACAAGCAGAATCGGCGGACGGAGCAGCGGAAGCAGCGGGGGCTGATGCAGTGGAAGCCGGCGCGGAATGCGAAGTTCGCGAAGGACCAGGGGGCACTGGGTGTGCGGAAGTTGAAGGGGATGGTTACGGGGGGGTTGGAGGGGCGGCAGCCGGGGGTGGAGACGGGTAAGTTTTGGAGACTTCTGACTGTGATTGAAGTGATGCTGACTAGAGTTCACAGAAACGGGATAATAGCCAACGGGCAGGTTGGTGGGTTTCGGGTAGCTTTGTACGAGTATAGGAAAATTGAGCGGAAAGTTATATGACTCCCAGGAACGTCAGCTGTCGCAGCATATGCGAAATGATAGCAAGCAATGGACAGGCATAAAAACATGGGAACAATAGGACGAATTAACTTGTTCAAACGACAACGTGGAAATGAGAGATAACTTCAAAAGGTAATCATGAACTGACTGCTTGAGATCCGAATAGTAGTTGAATGGAAGTCCTCGCGATGTAGGCGAACAACGGAAGACGGGCCGGCCCCTGAGGTTCGGATAGAACTTGAAAGACCGACGTAAATCCAAGTAGCGGTACGGAGTACACTACGGAATACCTCCCTCGACCTTATTCGGATAACCAGTAATTAAGGCCTATCTCCGTCACCCCGCGTATAACTGGTGTCTGAGTTGGGACAGGGATCACCTGTGCTCCATAGACCATAAGGGCCGAAATGCTAAAATTCCGTCTGAAGTTAGTGTTATTATCCGTTATCCGGTTATCGTGATGTAGTCGCGCACAGTCTCGGTCTCGGACAGGGCCGAATCCTGGCCGTCACCTTCCGCAACATGAACCAATCTACATTATAAATACCTACCGTACTCTGCCTCGATTTATCTTGAGTCATGGGTGTGATTGTGCCTGCATGATTTCTTAATAACATGCCCATAGCGCTTTCGGCAACCACCTAATCAAACCTCATCAGGGTCCCCTGGTTCCCTCCACAACCATGGCCAAATCCGACGCAGAGATAAGAAAGCGTATCATCACCCACATGAACAAAGACCACTACGACAGCGTATATATACCCCAACTCTCCCCCCACCCCAATTAATCCTCTCCAGATCATCCGCTACGTCCAACACTACGCCCACTGCTCGCCCTTCCACGCCCGCAACGCCACCCTCACCGACATCACCACCACCCACCTCACCATCCAATGCGGCACGCACACCTACCCGATCCCGCTCACCCCTCCGCTCGGCTCCCTCTCCGAGGCGCGCCCCCGTCTCGTCGCCATGAACCGCACCGCCACCGACCACCTCGGCCACTCCGCCGTCACCGTCAAGCAGTGGGTCCCGCCGCTGGGGGTCTACGCTGCGACGTTCCTGATGTGCGTGCTGGGGTTTTTCGTGCTGTCGCGGGACGCGCACATGGCGCCGGGGAGCTGGGCGTATGAGTATGGGTTGAAATATGGGGGGGATGCGTTCACGGGGTGGTTGAGGCGGTATCGGGGGGTGGGATTCGGGTTGATGTTGGCGATTCATGCGACGGAGGCGATGGTGATGGCGAGGGGGAAAATGGTGAGGCATGCGGTGCCGGTGGGGAGCGGGTTGTGGTGGAAGTGGGTGGGGGGGACGTTTGTGGATGGGGTGTGTAGCTTTCACAGGTTTGATGCGCTGGTGGCGCGGAGAGAAAAAGAGATGGGGAAGAAGGGGCATTTGGTAGGCGGGGTGGAGAGCGGAAGGAGTTAGGGGAGTTTTATTTTATTTTATTATGATACCATTGATTAGATGCGCTAGATCGTGATCATGAGGGTATAGGTATGGGGACTATTTGAATACTTTGTGGTAGTATTACCAGTCTATATATCCACTAAGACTCCTGGCCCCCTTAAGCACGAAACCGTTTAGTACAAAGGAGATGGCCGTCTCACGGCGCCTCATAGATCGGTTGCTGAGCCGGCGGGTGGGTTGGCGTTCCTGCCGAGGCTCCCCCCTGCGCCAGACCTACTGGAGGAGGAACTGGTGAACTGTGCTGCGACGTTCCCCCCGGCTTCTGGTCCGTTTCCGTGTGCGCCATGCCTTTGGGATCGTAGTAACTGGTGGCAGCACCCGCGAACGGCGGAGGTGGAGCGCCATAGGGCGTAGCCGGTTGCATATTCGGGTTGTATTGCTGCTGCATGTACGGGGGTTGATTCGGGTCCACGTAGGGTTGCGTACCGGGCGGTGGACCGTATCCGGGCGGAGCATATCCGGCTGCAGCATATCCGCCTTGCGGGGGCACGGCACCCGCACCCGCGGCCACGGGTGCGGCCGCATCGGTCTTCTTTTTGCGAAGGAGGAAGAAGACGATGGCTCCGATAATGCCGCCCAGTACGGCAATGCCGCCGACGACTCCACCGACAATGGGTCCGATGGCTGTACCCTTTTTCTTGGGTGATGGTACAGAGGAACTGGCTCCGCTAGCGAATCCGTTGTTTGTCGAGAGTGTGGAGCTTGTGATGTCGGGGTCCTCGGCACCATCGGCTGTGGTCCCAGTGCCCGACGGAGCCACTTCTTTCGTTATGACGGTCACACTGCCGCTGACTGTGCTCGTGAGGGTTTCACTGCTGTCCGAGCTAGATGGAGATCCAGAGCGGGAAGAATATGTCGGATAGACATGAGCCGTTAGGCCATCCGAAGTCGATCGACATGCGAAGCCGGTAAACGTGTGGGAGCCTGTGTACGAGTATGCAGTTTCGCAATATGGCTCAGTTGCCTCCGTGCTGGGATTGTCAGCATACCAGGTAACATGGAATATGATCAGGTTGGACATACCAAATTCGAAGACGATCATCATTCGAGCACGACGATCCACAAATTGATATGCTTTCATGAGGTACGCAGGAAGTTTTAAACTTGCATTGGGCAGTTCTTGTTGAAATGCAGCATGCATACGCGGAGAAATCTGTATTCGTGGCACAGATATACGGCGATGAACAGAACCTTCGAGACGCTGGACGAGGTTAGCAAGGACATTCAATGCTTCAAGAGACGCTCTTCGGCCTACTTCTAACGTGTTCCTCGTAACCACAGATGTCTGTCACGCCTCTCTTTTCATTAAAGATATCCAAAAGGTCTATCGCGCCCTGAGTAGTTGCAGGGCTGAAACCCTGATAGTCAGCCATTGCATCGAGGCCTGGAGTTGGAAAAGCGCCATCCCAAGGCATCGCAACCGCTGCTCCGAAGAGCATCGCGACATAGAGAAACCTCGCCATGTTGGTCAAAACGAGAGTTTACGACTGCAAAGTCGAGGTGAAGGCTCGAAAGACAATCAAAATCGAACAATTGGTGGGCAGGATCACCCTTTTAGCCAGGATTATCGTATGCATCCAGATTCCAGCGCGTATTCCACAATATGCAGTGGTCTAAGCCTTGTTGGTTTTCGGCGGTGCTCAAGGCAGAAGATGTCAGCAGATATCCGGAAGGAGTTAGATTATCAAGAGAATCAGTCTTGAAGAAAACTAGGGGGAGCACCATGGCTACGTTGGCCAATGCATCAGGGTAATGTATCTGCTGGCCAAGAGCCCAAGGCGCGATGGAAGCCGGAGTTGTCGGATGTGCGATTGAAGAGAGAAATTACCCAATAGGCATGGGAAAACTCGGCTGCTCTTTGACCTCGTATTCACGACATGGCGGAATTGAAATTGAAGCGAAAAGGAAATGATCGACCGCCGATGAATGGCCAATGGATAAAACAACCTCGCCATCTGATGCTGGATTAAACTGCTGTTCTTACTTATATAAGGTATGTAATATTCCACCTTTTGATTGACTAAAAGACTTGACTATCACCACTCAGAAACGAAATGCTTCAGATAAACAACACTGGAATGGTTTCCACGCTATTAGAGTTAGGAAAGCCCAAGTCGTAATGCGGTTAGCGTGGAATGGCACATGTTACACAAGTGAAGAAAAGGGGCTGTGAAATGTGAATCACAATTTATAGAAACATGACAAGGGTTAGAACATTTCCATCCTTACTGCCTGGTCATCGGATTGTTTCACCATGTCGTCCAATCCTCTTCCTGTGCTTCCAGTCAACGAGTCAGCATTGATCGATGCTCGACGCTCGTTATTCAAAGGCATCCTTAGCCGACCGATGAACAAACCAAGAATTCGGGATGAAAACTTCCATCTTGACCTTTGTCCTCATTAGGAATAGCCAATAGCTACGGAGTACTAAGGAATGAGTTCCTTGTATGGTAGGGTAGCATCACTCTTAATGAGCAATAATATGGACCGAGTTCTAACTACACCAGCATTTTAAGTCCATCTTTCTTGTTCTCTTGATAATGTTGCATTAATTGTCACCCATGTTATCAATAGCTATACGGATATTGTGTGACGCTTCTCGGGGAGTGGTTTCACAACCTTTCTCTCATAAAGCCAGTCAATATCATCGTTCTCCGTAAACTAAACTCCGCGACCCATCATTAAACAAACATGATGTGTTCCCCTCAAACTGCGATGAGGTGCATCAAACCATCAATCATCGCACCGTCTCGCCTCACATTTCTTGATCCCTAGTGCAGCAGTCAGACCCTGACCCTCCCCGACGGCCGCATCCTAGGCTATGGCGGATTCGGCCACCTCAATGATTTCCCCGTCATCTACTTCCACGGCTTCCCCTCCCCCCGCCTCGAACCGCATGTCATCGACAAGCTCACCCGCCGACGCCGCATCCGCGTCCTGTTGCTCGACCGTCCGGGATTCGGCCTCTCGACCTTTCAGCCCGGACGACGGATCATAGATTGACCGGCTGATGTGCGAGCGTCCGCGGAGCACGTGAAGCTGAAGCAGTTTGCGATCATAAGAGACTCGGGGGTAGGCCGTATGCTTCAGCGTGTGCGTATAAGCTGCCGAAGGAGATGATGTCTGCAGTCGGCATGCTTGCAAGGGCGCCGCTGGGGAGGCGGGGGTACATGATGTGGTGAAATACAGGCGCGTCGCGGCGGTGGTGGCGAGCTCTGTCCCAGGGGCTTCAGGGTCTTCACGGATGCGCTGGTGGGCGTTGGTCGCTTTATCGCGCCGTCTGGGCCGGGTGAAGAAGCGGATTGACACCTGGTTGGAGCTAGAACGTGGGGAAGGTAAGGTTGAGGCGAAGAGTGAAGTCTCGAAGGAAGGGAGCAGTGAGTCACCAGTAGCCGAGAAAGAGGAAGACTAGACGATAAAGAGAAGAGGGAGCAGCTTTTCCGCATCGTATTTGATGGGTTTGCGCGGATCTCTTAAGCGATGGTACAGGAAACGCAGTTATTATCGGCGAATAGATGGGGGTTCAAGTTCGAGGATATATCCTTCAACCCTATTCTGATATGGCACGGCACAAAGGATGCCAATTCTCCAATCTCCATGATAGGGATGCATGGCGAAGCGTCTGCCACACGGCGTTTTTCGGGGGTTCGAGGGCGAGACTCGTTATACCCTGGTGAACCTTAAACGAATTACGCAGATCTTGACGGAGCTGGACCCATTAGAGGAGACATCGACGGTAAGAGAGTATGGGCTAGGGGATGTCCATGGGATGCATTCATCATTTAGATATACCTGTAGGCATGTAATTATAGGTTGATAGGATAGCGATCACCCTCTCGTACTCAATTTCAAATCAACCGGTCTACCCGGCTCTTTCATGCTTTCACCTTCAGGACAAGAACTATTGAGTCGAAGCCGTCCAGTAATTGTATGTATTAATATTACGCGTCCCTTGACTGACTACCGGAGGCTCGGAAGTCGGAAGTTAGACCACGATTGACTATTAGGGCCGAGGGGCAAGGGCGGTGGGCACACGCCACGTGTGGTTGACAGAGGCCCGACGTCTAGGGAGGCCTCCGCTGATTGGTCCAACTTCACCGCCATCCATACCTGTACAGAGAGATATCAAACTCGTGCTTTTTGGTCCCAACATCTTTATTCTTCCTCTTTATCAAGTATTAGCGGACATTGCATTGGATTTCCCTTGTCCAGTCAGACATCCCTTGTCTAAGGAACTAATCATCATGCTTCAAAACAAGTGTTTTCTTCCCCTTCGTGCTACAGGACGCGACGCTCTTATCAGTTCGAAAACTGCGTCTCGACCTCTTGTGAGATGGCACGGTTCGCAATTTCTTGCTTTTCCAAAAAGAAACCTACATTCGTCTCCAGTACATGCGGCATCTCGTCCGAGTCCAGTGTATTTAAAAAAATCTTCGAAAGACCAGAGGGCTGAAAGCAAGAAAGAGTCAGAAGGCAGTGCAGCGCCGAAAAATAATCCTTTCGGTTGGGGTGCCACGGCTATCTTTGCAGTAGCGACAACGTTAATGGCAGAGTCGCTTTTAAGGAATCCGCCTGATCGCAGCTCAACACAATCACTAGAGAAGTCCGCTACGGCTAAGTACAGTGTCTCGCCAGACACATTACGCAAGGCGATTGGACAACTCAAAAAGGACATTGCCGCGGACCGAATCATACGGGATGTCGGAGAGTGCACCAATAAGTCAAGTACCGCATGGTCTCCTGCCCCGGAAGAGACGGACTGCCCTTCGTTTATCGTCTACCCCATCTCGACCTTGGAAGTGAGTAAGATAGCGAAGGTATGCCATGAGTTAGGGATCCCCATGCTGCCATACTCAGGCGGAACCAGCCTTGAAGGAAGCCTGGCAATGACTACCAAAGGTGGTTGCTGCATTGACTTCAAGCTGATGGACCGCGTCATTGGAGTCAATAAAAAGGATATGGACGTTGTCGTGCAACCGGGAGTCGATTACATGGAATTGAATCAAACGCTCGCGGAACAGAATCTCTTCTTCCCGCCTGACCCGGGCCCAGGCGCCAAGATCGGTGGCATGATTGCTCAGGGTTGCTCAGGCACAAACGCATACCGATATGGGCCGATGAAGGAGTGGGTCCTTGGACTAACAGTCGTCCTCGCCGACGGCACAATCATTAAAACCAGACATCGACCGCGCAAATCAAGTGCTGGTTATGATTTGACGCAGCTCATCGTTGGATCCGAGGGTACTCTAGGGATCGTCACCGAAGCGTCCCTCAAATTGACCAGCAAACCTCAGAACGTTCGCGTTGCGGTCGTTGCATTCCCTTCAATACCAAATGCGGTGGACAGTGCCATCAAGGTCGTCCAGGAGGATCTCCCAGTAGCGGCATTGGAATTGCTCGACGACTTCACCATGAAGGCCGTCAATGAAGCCGGATACTGCGAGAAGCAGTACGCTGAAACAGCAACGCTGTTCTTGAAATTCTCCGGGTACTCGGACCGGATGGTTCAAGAGATTATAGGGAAAGTCATGGATATTGCGAAAGCAAACAACTGCAGCTCATTCGAGATTTCGAAAACGGAACGTGAAGCTAGCGACTTGTGGCAAGCACGTAAAACGGCGTTGTGGAGCGTTCTTGCATTGAGAAGGAAACCAGAGGACAAATTTTTGAGTTCCGATGCCGCCGTCCCTATCTCGAGACTAGGCGATCTAATTGAAGCGACCCAAGCCGATATCAAGGAATCCGGCGTCCTCGGATCTTGTATTGGACACGTTGGAGACGGCAACTTCCATGCTGGCATCCTGTATGACCCCCAGGACGAAAAGATTGCGCGTACCATCATCCAAAATGTCCAGAGGCGGGCAGTTAAAATGAAGGGAACTGTGTCGGGAGAGCACGGCATCGGTCTGGAAAACCGCGACGCGCTGACGGAAGAGCTGGGACAGCAGAGTATCGACACGATGCGAAAGGTCAAGGCGGCACTGGATCCGAAGAATCTGCTCAACCCCGATAAGATATTCCACCAGAAATGGGTCGCGAAAGACAGTTGGATTCCTTTTTCATCGAGCGCGTCATCCAAAGGATACCAGGATCAAGACATTGTCCAGGATATTAAGTCCACGTTGGGTTGGTCTTGATACATAAGGTTATTTCGTGGATCCGAATCTATTCAACATCGTTTATAGGATATTCTGCATCTTCAAAACCCACCGAGGCCTCTGACCCGTTGTACGGCTCCAACCAGCCCTTTGAGCGAAGCGAATCGGCCAGGATCAGCACCAGTTGCACCTTCGGCCTCTCTTCCTTCTTTATCTCTCCAGATGCCGTCATCCTGGGAAATTCCGTAGATACGGGAATCTTCACCTTTGTCAGATATATCAAAGACCAAATGAGGCGAGGACTTACTCTGATTCTTTTCCAACAAGTCCATCCACTCTCGACAAATCTCCTTCGAATCAATCATAACGTTGATCTCCTGGCTATGTGCCCAGCTCTGGGTGTCTTGATTCCCGCTCCCGGTAATACCCACTTCTCCGTCGACGATCATGAGTTTGGTATGGCAACTGCGCTTCTTGTGTCCTGCCCAGATCGGCCGATCTTGATCCGCAGCGACGTACCATTGCACGACTAGTCGCCCTGCAACATCCTCCCCACTCTCTCTCGCCTTTCTCCTGAGTCTTGCGACTGTTGTCTCATTGACGCCGCCTTGTCCAGGCAGCATCTCTCCGGCGTCGTTGTATCCAAGACAGAGATGAAGCGTGACTATGATTCCACGTTTCACTGCGTCAAGGATTGCAGGCTGTAGTACACTGGCATTGAGATCGGGTGTTTGGATGAAGATGGAATGGCGGGCATTCCGAAACGCGGAGAGCCAGGCCTCGTTCTGAGGAGTGTGGATAGAGGAATTGTTCGGTGCTGCCCATGGATTTCGGTTGACTAATGCCATCGCAACGGGAGCGTGCGGCTTGTGCAGCTTCAGAGGGAAGAACTGGACAGGGGTGTCATCTGGCAAAGCTGTTTTCACGTCTCCGCCGAAAGGCTCATTTAGGTGATGTGAAAGCGCGTCGATGGCCGACATTCCCTGCCCTGGTGAAAGCAGTTTCTGTACTGTCCGAACCTCATCCTGGATGCTCTGGGAGAAGCTGAATTCGCGCGGTGACCGAGCCAACTCATCCGACATCCGCGGCTCCTGCGGCCGGGAAAGGTCGATTTTGAAGTTCTCAGCAAACTTTCCAAATTCCGGATCCTCAAATGTGGGCGGGCGTTGTGTCGACGCCGGGCGTGTCAGCGTCTCCAGGGGCGGATCGAGAGCTTCATGCCACGAGATAATGAAATTGTCGTAGATAGAATCGACAATGTCGCCTTCCAGATGAACCATCATTTCAAAGTTCTCGTTGTTCTGAATATTGTTGCTTCCCACCACCCCGACCTTCCTGTCGACGACTAGGAACTTGGCGTGGAAGGTGCCCATCGCCGGCCGATGATAATTCATGACTTGCATGGATACGTTCGGGATCTCGCTTGCTGGCGGCAAGTTCAAGCTGGAGTGCGTATACTCCCTCTCGGATACCATAGTGTGATTCTGGATGAATTGCTTGAGGTGTCCACGGTCATAGATGATCTTTACGTTCGCCTTCTGTCCACGTTCCCCAGCTCTTCTTGACAATTCTTTGAGCGCTTCTCGCAGGACATCGCTTGCCCGGGAACCGACCCAGTAATTCGTGGCTAATAAGACTTCACTCTCTGCTCGAGCAATAAGGTTCGCGATATGTCTAACGCAATCTAGCATCGTTCCTGCGATTGTCGCCGGCACTACGCCAGTTGCACCCATAAGGCATGGGGAGACACAGCCCACACGAGGGTCTGCGTCAATTGGAAGTAGAGCATCGTGAAAGAGACGCAAAAAGAGCTCGCTCGGTTCGCTATTCTTGAACTTTCCGCATTTTCTTGCCCTTTCGAGGCCTGCCTTGGTAGCTCTTTCGATCGCTTTAGGTTCCCTTTCGCCAAAAATATGCGGATGCCGCTTGCCAAACAGATCGTTCTGGATTGATCCCGGCGACCGTGATGGATTTTTTGCAAGCAAAGATGAAATCGACTCGGATTGACATAAGGAAACAATGCGATCTGTCAGAACTTCCGGCATGGCGACGCTCTTTCTCCACAGTTCAAGATGCCAAAGGTAGACGCCAGTCGCTAAAGCCACAACGAAGGTCAACGAATTGGGAATAGTAAAACTCAGATAGAAGTCATAGAAGACTTCGGGGAACATATTGCCACGAAATTGATATAGAAGAGATCAGTGACAGGAATGAACCGGCACGAGGGTAGTGGTAGCTCTGCTGGCTTCCAAGACGCATGATATCTGCCACTCTGGGAAAGCTGGGCATCGAGTCTGGGCAGGATGATTGACCTACTTTGTTCCAGACCTAAGCAAACCAAGAAATTATTCGAGTAATATGGGTATCTAATACTGGTATTAATGGACTCTCTTGGAGATGACGTTGAACGCGTGGTGGCAGACGTGACAAAACGTCTCCGTCTGGTATGACGTCGACTTCCTGATACGGCTAGACTGGCGCCTCGGGAACGACTTCAGATTTACAAACATCCAGCATCTCCCCAACTAAACCTCAAGCGTCCGATTGTCAATTTCAAGTAACTAGTTAGTTAAGTTAACTTAACTAGTTAACTAAGTTAACTTAGTTAACTTAACTAGTTAGTTAAGGTAACTTAACTACTTTCGATTTTTATATGCGGCTGTCAGTCTAGGTGAATCATTCTCGAGTTGAAAATCGTGCATGCGAGGTCGTTGGTCTATGAAATCCGTTTAGAGAGGCCGTCCGTTCTTTGCAGTTCATTCTGCTGTCAAATATGGGAGCCTTGGTGTCCTCTATCCTGTAGACTGATTTATGCAAAGCCAGCAGAGCGCTGCTTTTTCTTAGACCGTTTCATCCTCTTCCGCTTCTTGCTAGATTCTTCTGCCGCAGCCAACAATAACCGTTAAACACAGCTCAAAACTGTGACATCATCTATACTTATCTTAGGACTCGACCGTGCCCAAATCTACTCAACTAAAGGTTGCATTAGATATAGACCTGCTTTTAGAGATAGCAATAGAGCGTAATGAGTTGAACGACACAACTTCAAGATCAATGTTGAGGAATGGATTCATGGCCTTATGGCCTGAGAAAGGGATCACGTCGATCAAGCATGAGTTGACTATATTGACTGTTACACGAAGTGAATGTGACACCGCTTACAACTACCTGTATATTAGTTTTTCCTTTCTCTTCTCTTCCACTTCTTCGTTTCGTTTGGTCCAATACTAGCTATATATCTACAGACAGTTCCATCAGATATCCCCCTGTGTAGCATTGTGACAATCATGCCCGTTCCCTACACCCACGACAGCCGCGTCTGACCGTCATCTTTCGAGTCCGCTTCGACGCCGTCCCGCTCGACCCGCAGCCGCACTACTACCTCGTGCCCATTCTCTACCGCCCACGACAGCGGCGTCTGACCGTCACTGTCCTTTGAGTCCGCTTCGACGTCGACCCGTTCGACCAGGAGCCGTACCGCTGCCTCGTGCCCATTCGCTGCCGCCCACGACAGCGGCGTCCGACCGTAACTATCCTTCGAGTCCGCTTCGATGTCGAGACCTCCATGTTTGCCTTCCAAAAGCTTAGTTGTCAAGTAAACCTGTCCATGCCTCGCTGTGAATTGCAGTCCGCTCGTTCCTTCCGGGAACTGACTACTATAGCCTTCATATTTATAGTCTGACATCGACACAGCTTGTACGGTGGAGTCAACTAAGGTGCTATCGCGGAGAAATTCTAGTGCTAAACAAGAAGTGATGATTTCGACATGTCGTATATGTTCGCTCCAGTAATGTGCTGAGTAGTCGTAAATTGCATTCTCGATGAGCCTCTGTTCGAATGCTCTATCATTAGCACAGCTGCCGCTCCGAAACACGTCGAAAGATAGATACGTTAAGCAGGCTACCGCTATCTCTTGCTGAGCGCTAGTGTTCCATACCAGGCGTATGCGCTCAAAGTACTCCTATGTCGTATAGTGCACGAGCCGGATGATGTTGCTCTCCTCGTCTACAGTAACAAGCCCAGCGCAGACGGAGGAAATGTCTTCCACGTCATAAACACTGTCATGGTTCAGAGCTTTATCGCCTGGCTCGATAGCCAGCGCATGGCATAGCTCTCGAGTAGTAAGTGGTCTCTGAGCATATGTTATCCAGAATAAAGCACGCCTAGCCAGCGAACGGTCATCTTCTAGTTGTCCGTCTATTCGCTTGATTGCCTCTCCATAGGCTTTTTCGAGCGCCGTCGAGCCTTTAGATAGCTTCTCTAGCGTGAAAATAACACTCTGTTTATTCCTTTTGTCAAGGAGCGAGTCGACGTGAAGACGCGCGAGAAGGAACCTGACCACTCCGTAAGTAAAAAGGCTTTGCAGTTAAACCGCTAGAGAGCACCTACATGCCATCAACGGCTTCCGCAATCTTGTCCTGAACAAGATGCTGGAGCTCCTCGTCGCGTCGAATGCATTTCGGTAGACGTGGTATCCGACCCTCTATAAAACGTCTGACGTCCGAATCACTGGCTCGCACCTCTAGAGTTGGGCTTGATCGAAATCTCTGCGTTACTTCGGGAATAAATCGGGAGGTAAGCATATAGTAATGGTACCAGAGCTATGTTTGGCTTGCAATCGAATGACGGTTCATTTTCAAGGACTAGACAGCTATATCCGCTGCATAGCACATGTGACATGTCCTCAATCTGATCGTCGAGAATATAATTTCAGCATTAAAATCGGGCGATCACAACGTGGCGATGGCAGCTTGTATTCTTACTCCGTATAATTAGATTCAGGGAACTTGACCTGGAAAATTGCAGGGAAATATGGGGAGTTCTCCAGGTCATTTTCCCTCGAGGCTTCGCTGGAGTGATAACAATACCTACGCGCTTGCCAAGCACCCCAGAAGCTTTCGGCCAATCAATCCGGCGCTGGTGGTGCTGTGGGCATCTTCCAGCATCGTCTACGGTCTAGACCGGAAACTCCACGGTTGAAGGGTTTGATAGTTGTTACAAACTTTATTTCAACAGTACAGAAGCAGCTTTGCAGCCCCAAAATTAATGCTTTGGAGCTTAACAAAAACGCGCTCGAAGACAAGGTTACTCACGAACTTGGAATGATCCGCTGACAACGAGAAGAGTTTGAAAAGATGCAAAATATTCTCATAAAAATAATCAAAAGGAAAATCTGAAAAACAAATCTTTGATAGGCTGGGCCTTTCACTTAAGTAGCGCCTCCATTCGCACCATCCCCAGCAAGGGAGTCGAGGAAACCCAAGTCTATCCCTGATAGATTCCAATTCATGAACGGCCATTCTGCATCGGGAAGTTGCTCCAAAGACTGCAAAGTTTGTTCGACCCCGTCGAGGCTCAGTGCTGCTTCGTCAATCTGGGGATATACACCGTCGGTTGCTGTTGGTAACTCCTGACTCGGTACAGCTTCAGTGGGCAATACAGAAATATCATTCGCGGCTCGGTTGATAAATGATCCCACCTTAGAATGAAGCTGTTCAAGTGCGTCGATCAAGTCCGTAAGCCGTTCTCGAGGGGACATTTGGCCAAGGCATGACATTGCCCTCCGATAGTATCTATCATGTGTATCGTAAGAACTCAAGTCGTGCAGTGTGGCTAAAGCTAGGATAAAGCAAGCGGTCTCAAGGAATAATTCGTGATTGCAGAGTATCTGAGAGGATCCAAGTCAGTTGAGTTCCTGGAGACTTTCATGATAAAGAGTACCTCAGCCACTGGATGTAATGAGATAACAGTGTCCGCAAGGACAATGATGGATCGAGCAGCGTCAATGCAACGATCGCAAGCATCTTGCAAAGTCGAGTCGATGGTGAGCATGAGGGACTGGGTTGGTGTCAGGCTCTCTGAGTCCGTTTGACGTCTAAATTCAAGCGACAGGAGCAGGAAAGGCCTGAAAGTTAAACAGACGATATTGAAGTATTCTGGCATTTGTCAGTAAGAGCAGCCTAACCGTGTAAAAAGTCATACGTACCGTATGAGAGAACAACGTGCTGTACCAGATTTTCGCTGCTGTTGTGTTCTAGAGGCTTTCCGATAAATATTTCTAGATCTGATTCCAAAATTCGCCGGAGTGATTGCAAATCATGAAAAATCTTATAGGCCGTCTTGAGATCAGCGTTGATAGTGGTATGGCAACACCGATAGAGTTTGTGTATTTCTTGCATCACTTCACACATTCTGAATAATGCCCAGGTGAATGTGCCGTGTTCCGGGATAGAAAAATCCATATCGCTTATCTGGAGCAATATGGGCCATCCAAATGTGAGAGAAACAAGGCTGCTAAAGTGTAAGCAACCCATTTTGCTGCCATGCGCCACAACTTTGACTTTAGCACCACTTACGTCTCGTAACAATACACGGACCAGAATGTACGGGTCGCTTCTGCGGACTTATGATGTGGTTGCCGATATGACGGGTCTAGTCGATGCAGTCCGGCTGCCAGTGACTTTTGTAGACTGCGGCCTAGAATGAGGTAGGCAACCTGTGGACTGCCCCAAATGAACTCACAATGAGCGTAAACAGTAGCTTGTCAGTTGGAGACGAGCATCAGGCGGGAGATTGACTTATCAGCAATAATTCTGTTTGGACGACCTCCATGTTGATGTCATAAAGTGATTTTTCTGATTCTTTTAATGCTTTCTCGAAGAGAATTTTCCTCCATCCGTCATGTTTGTAGCCTGCTCCAATCGCCAAAGTGGCAAGGACAAGTGCTTTTTCGGAGCTCCCGACAACATTCGATGGATTTGGGTCATAGAGACGTAGGAGGAGAGGCTGCACAGTCTCAGCAGATACCAATGGAAAAAGGTGATGAACTGTCCTGAGATAGACGTCTTGAAAGCCTTTGGCAAGGTCGTACTGAAGGAATGCAACATCCGCATCTTGCGCACTGGGTATAGATCTGAAGGCTCTCTCGCGATAATTGAAAGCATCCAGACTCTCATTGTCATCATAGAACTGCCCCGGGCAAACCAATGGGCTTGAATCTCGAATACTTGGAAGTTCAAGGTGCGCATGAAGATGGCGGAGTAATGAAAAGCTAGACAATGGACCGTACAAGAGTTCCGAAATGCACAGGGAGGAATCTCGAGAAACGTCTGTAACACGGATGCTGTTGAAAATATGCCTACGGGGGAGAGTTGATTGAATCTGTTCCATGCCGATCTCGTTCAATCCTGATGCTTGCTGTTCGATTGAAATACCGCTGGTGGTCGCATGGGATCTTGAATTCAGAGTTCCGTGTTCCAAGTCGGCATCTTCGGAGGTAACCTGGCGTGAATTTCTTGTTCTTGTAACCACCCGGTACCAGCATGTTGCACCGCGCCTTTGACAAGTGATGCATGGACTCTCGCCACTGCAGCGCTGCTTTCTCCGACGACATTCTTCGCATGCTTTTGAGGTGTTCTTTGCATGAGACCCTATTATGTCTCATTCAGTCTACTCTGAAGCATCAGGTGATCTAGTAGACTTACTAGCGGCTTTGGTCATGATGGTGGCCATGGTGTGTGTCATGGACCGTTAGGGGCTAATAATGGTGTCGGGATTATAGATTCGGGGGAAATATCAAGATGTTGAACTTTTATTTCGCCATCGGAATAAACATTATTTCCGATGACGTGGTTGGGTGCCGGGCCATGTTCCGGTAGAGTAATTGATTGATTGGGTCGGCCCAGGGTGGCTATTTAGGCATTCCGGCTTTGTCTCCACTTTTGAGTGATTTGGCCTGGCTCATTTCCACTTTGTACCATGGTTGTGTCTACCACCTTACCAAATCGCTTCCTCTTACCAGTGAGTTACCACTGCTATTTTCACAGTAGAAATATGGGATTGCGAGCAATTGATTATCAGAAACCAAGAAGTTATGGTAGGCTAGAGGTGAAAACTGTTTGGCTTGTACCGGCTTGCAGGCCGAGTCAATTATAAGCCGTTAATTCAGGGTCCAAATACGGTTTTACACAAGCCGATCCGGCTTAAATAGCCACCCTGCGACGGTCGGCCTACGTGGGGAACTAGCTGACTAATCTACATTGTATGAGGTCCATTGTCGATTTTTCTCTCTTGTCCTCCTTGTTTAGATCCAAGTGGCCGAGATGGCCAATACTGATGGTCCTCTAGGTTATCTACTACATATTGGGATTTGGGAACGCTGTTCTTACTCGCGGCGCAGCGTTGCTTTGCGCTTGAGGACATCTCAGCATGTTGTCTGGATCTATCGTCGTGTGTCCAATCTGTTTGTCTCCGCGAAGGCCAGAGTCGCGTTAACCACCTCTGTATCCGGTTTCCATTTATCGATAGGCCCGTCCCTTTCTAGTTACGTATATGCTCCTAGAAGGTAGGCAATGTCATCGTGCCTTCTTCCGACTTTGGCTCTCAAGGTTGCTCTTGGTGTATTCCACAACTCGTAAATGAGGAGAAAACGTTCCACCGTTTCCGTTTCTCCGCATTCGCATGACGACCCGGGAGCGCTTTATCGAGATGTTTGATTAACTTGCCAGTTACGCTTTTACGAAAGCTTCTTGTTTTTGGCGTTGATCTGTCTTACCGAGTTTCAGGGCCACTGTGGGCCGTCTGGGCTGATTCAACCGGTTTAGTGACTCGATGATAGCTTCCTCATGAAATTAGGTGAAATGACTTGTATTGCTTATTCTAAGATGTAGAAGATAGGATTCCTTTTATGGTAGGAATTGTTATGATAACACATTTTCCTGTGTTCTCTTCCTTGACACTTCCAGTCATCCTCTTTTCCAACACTTCCGCCTCTAGGCTCCTGTCGTCGGTCACTTTAGCGTCGGTTAGGATTCTCTGCAAGGCGAGCGATGGGACCATCGGCGTTGTGACTACTATTTCAGCGCGGTCGGCATGCCGGGCAGCGATCCCGACCAGGGAATGCAGTGGCGGTTGGTGGTTCTGCATTTCTTGGTTGGTGATTCGTTTCGTGGAGATTCGGGGAATCCAGGGTGCCACCAAGAACGCTGGTTTGGTTTGTATCTTCCAAAGATCGATCTGCTGGAACGTTCTTTCGGTATGCTCTAGCGGGGACCGAGGGGCTTTATCTGTAGTTAGTGAGGATTCCGGTAGTTGAAAAGTGGTCCTTCACGTTCTTTCGGAAATAACGCTGGGCATTTCCGAACACTGGAAAGAGGGTCTGCTACTTGCCTCAACCCGACGTTCGGAAATATAGCGCCAGCTTTTCAACAGCCTGATGCTCCTATTTCCGCTCACAGCAGTGAACTTACTACGATCTGCATCAGTCAGCAGTGTCCTTCCAGGTCCAAGTGGAGACTATATGAGGACGCTGGCTTGAAGAACCTGATCGCGGATGCCACGACCCATCGGATTTATCAAAGATCGGAGAAACGGGAATAAACAAGCAGGAAGAGTATATAGGAGGCCCGGCATGGCTGAGTCTCTTGAGCTGTATGTTCTCATTCGTCTCGATTTTTGAAGATGTCGGACCTAACATCATGGCAGGCTGGCCAAAGCAACCCCTCTGGAGGACCTTGGCCAGAGCAGGGCGAGAAGCAAGAAGACGGGTCTCGCTCGGAACTAGAGTCATCAGAGGGGCACGACATCCCGTCCAGCTCACCCGACAATGATATCAAGAATGGAAGCTGCTGGACTGGTATCAAGAAGCGCTTGACGGTTACCTTTAAGGATCTTTCTATCCTGGTAAATGAGCGCGGAACCGATTATTGCGAAACCTTCGCTTCACGGATCGATCCAAGAGGGATAATCAACGGCATAAAAGCCAGGAAGCTTCCTCAAAAGGTGAGTGACACAAGAGAGTCTCTTAGTTCTGCTGCTTACGCAAAGAAGCACATCCTTCATCAAGTCACCGGCCAGGTTCGGCCTGGAGAAATGGTATGTCATTGGTGTCCTTCATCACTGCTTCTGTCCTAATCATGCTGTAGTTGCTTGTTGTTGGTCGCCCGGGATCCGGCTGCACCTCTCTACTTCGCATGCTAGCCAATGATCGCGCATCACTCAAGAGCATCCAAGGCGAAGTTCATTTTGGCAACGCGGACCATGTAGAAGCCAAGCAATTCCGGCATCAAATGATACTCAACAACGAGGATGACATTCACTTTCCCACGCTTTCTGTAGCTCAGACTCTGGAGTTTGCTCTGTGGACTAATGTACCTGATTATCGACCAGACGAACTGAAGAAGATTAATCATTACACAAGCAACGCTTCGTCAGATATTCTTGGGTCTCTGGCAATTGGACATACGGCAGACACTCTGGTCGGGAACGAGTTTGTCAGGGGTGTTTCTGGTGGAGAAAGAAAGCGTGTCTCAATTGCCGAAGTCATGGCAGGGCAGGTAAGATCATCATCCTCTCTTGTCTTTTATCCCTGGCCAACTTAAATTGCGTAAAGGCACCCGTCCAGTGCTGGGATAATTCAACAAGAGGCCTTGATGCCAGCACAGCCTTGGATTTTGGTCGTACACTCCGCAGCTCTGCACAGAAGCAAGAGAAAACAGTCATTGCCTCATTCTATCAGACCGGTAATGCATTATATAACCTGTTCGACAAAGTTCTAGTACTTTGCGAAGGAAGAGAGATCTACCACGGCCCGCGAGAACTTGCAAAATCATATTTTGAGGACATGGGCTTCATCTGTCCAAAAGGCGGCTCAGTGGCAGACTTCCTCACCGGGGCGGCGGTTCATACCGAACGCAAAATCAAACCTGGCTTCGAGAGCAGCGTTCCAAACACCGCAGATGAGTTTGAACAGAGGTTCAAACAAAGCAAGGTTTATATCGCCATGATCGAGGACATGGTCGATCCAGCGGCTCTGGAGTACGAAATTGAAGACTTGAAGCAGGCGATGACTCTAGAACGGCAAAAGTCGCCACTCTTCAGGCAGATTCATAGTGCCTATACGGTCAGTTTGTGGGATCAAACGATCGCTTGCGCTGTGAGGTCGGTCTATTCCAGCTCCATATCATATTACTCTGCTGATGTACGACAGATCATTCCAGATCATGTGGGGAGACCGCTGGTCCCTCATAATGAAGGTTGTTTCCGCGCTTGTTCAAGCCCTGATGACTGGATCCTTGTTCTACAACCTTTCCACAACGAGCAGCTCTGTCTTCCTTCGACCAGGAGCACTCTTTTTTGGAATTCTATACTTCTGCTTGCAAATGCTTTCCGAAACCACAGCTTCTTTCATGGGCCGACCGATCATCTCTCGTCACAAACGCTTTGGCTTTTACCGACCTACCGCATACTGCATCGCTGCTGTGCTGGTTGACATTCCGATCGTCTTTACGCAAGTCACAATTTTTACCATTGTTTATTACTTCATGGTTCATTTCCAGGTCTCGGCAGCCAAGTTCTTCACATACTGGGTTGTACTCAACGCTATCACGCTCTGCTTCGCGTCCCAGTACAGGGCAATCGGAGCTCTGTTCCGGCATTTTGGGAATGCATCCAAGGTTTCGGGGACAATTACAATGATCATGATGATTTACTCCGGTATGTGCACCTTCTACGGGCTGATCCCGAATGACGCTAAGTTTAAACTCCAGGTTATTTGATACCATTTACGTCTATGCATGTATGGTTCCGTTGGATATTCTGGATCAATCCTGCTTCATATGCCTTCGAGTCACTCATGGGGAACGAATGGTCCGGCTTGCAGCTTTCCTGCCAGTCTCCACAGTATCTACCATACGGTGCCAGCTACGATAATGATCACTATCGGGCATGCAGTGTTATTGGATCCAACGGAAACACTATCTCTGGAGACGCATATATCGCTTCCCAATACAACTTCTCCAGGTATCATGTTTGGAGAGGTTTTGGCGTCATAATCGGTTTCTGGATTTTCTTTGCTTGTCTTACTGCAATCGGCTTCGAAATGGCAGACAGCACCGGTGGCTCCGCTAAACTCTTATTCAAGCGCGGTAGCAATCCCAGCATTGACGGAGACGTACTTGACGAAGAGAAGACGGTCGTCAGTACACAAACGACAGCGTCTACGGCAGGCCCTGCGACCGAAGAACTGAACAATTCCAGTCACCAATCGATTTTCACTTGGAAGGATCTTGACTACTTTGTCAACGTTCATGGGGACGAGAAACAACTTCTCCAGAAAATTTCGGGCTTCGCTAGGCCTGGTCAGCTAGTTGCTTTGATGGGCACATCTGGCGCTGGGAAGACAACGCTTATGGACGTCCTGGCTCAACGAAAGGATGCAGGGAGAATCGAAGGCTCTATTCATGTCAATGGAAAGCCACAAGATATTACCTTTCAGAGGACCACCGGATACTGCGAGCAAATGGATGTCCACGAATCCACATCCACAGTTCGAGAGTCCCTGTTATTCTCAGCTCGATTGCGACAAGAGCACAGCATCCCGGATCAGGAGAAGGTAGACTACGTGGAGGAAATCATCGACCTTCTTGAGCTCCGCAAAATTAAAGACGCAATTGTTGGAGAACCTGGAGCTGGCCTCAATATCGAGCAACGGAAACGCCTGACTCTGGGTGTTGAGCTTGTCGCAAAGCCTCGACTTCTCTTCCTGGATGAGCCCACCAGTGGCTTAGACGGTCAGAGCGCATTCAACATTGTCCGGTTCATGCGAAAACTTGCAGACAGTGGACAGGTAGTAATTTGCACCGTTCATCAACCATCAGCAGCCCTTTTTGATGCCTTCGACTCCCTCTTGTTATTGGCTAAAGGTGGTCGAACCACGTATTTTGGCAAGACTGGAGAGAACTCGACACATTTACTGGATTACTTTGCCAGGAATGGCGCAACGTGCGACCCCGATGCGAATCCAGCGGAGCATATCATTGATGTGGTTCAAGGTCGCAGTACCACAGGAAAGGACTGGGTTCAGATCTGGGAAGAATCACCTGAACGGCAGAATATGATGCAAGAACTTGAAAGCTTGGATAGAGAAGCTTTGCAGCACGCGCCCATTATTGATGAAGAAAGCCAACACGATCAGGTCCATGACTTTGCGACACCCATCCCATATCAGATTCGTCTGGTAACCATACGCCAGTCAATTGCCTTGTGGCGAAATCCAGACTATGTTTGGAACAAGATTCACATGCATATTTTGCAGGCGCTCTTTGCTGGATTCACATTCTGGATGATTGGAGATGGTAGCTTCGACCTCCAACTTAGACTAATGGCCGTTTTCAATTTCGTCTTCGTGGCACCAGGCATGATCAACCAGTTGCAACCTCTATTCTTGCGAAACAGAGACGTATTTGAGACCCGGGAGAAGAAGGTAGTCACCCGTCCGAATCACAAAATGGAACGCTTACTGATCCTCTACTGTAGTCCAAAACATACCACTGGCTCGCTTTCATTGTTGCTGAATGCGTCTCGGAAATTCCATGGTTGATCATCTGCGGCACGGTTTACTTCGCATGCTGGTACTTTACAGCAGGCTTCCCTGTACAAGCGTCAATATCGGGTCAAATCTACGTACAAATGCTTCGTAAGAACTTCGGCGCGTCTAAACTGAGGTCTTGCTAACTCGATTCCAGTATACGAATTCCTCTATACTGCCATTGGCCAAGCCATTGCTACCTACTCTCCGAATGCCTACTTTGCCTCCCTCCTGAATCCTGTCATCATTGGAGCAGTTCTCATCAACTTCTGCGGCGTCGTAGTGCCATACGATCAGATTGTCGTATTTTGGCGTTACTGGATCTACTATCTCAACCCCTTTAGTTATCTTGTGGGAGGGCTTCTCGCCGCTCTCCTATGGGATGTTCCAGTTAACTGCAAGGGAAGCGAGCTTACCGATATTCCTCTCCCTTCGGGACAGACCTGTGGGGAATACATGTCGGCGTTCCTGGGTAACAACGCCGGCTACATTGTGGACGGCAACAGCACATCTTCCTGCCAGTATTGCCCTTACAAGGCTGGAGCAGAGTATGCCCAAACTTTTAATCTCAAGGCCAAATACTACGGCTGGAGAGACGTGGGTATCACAGCCCTCTTCTGTATTGCGTCGTATGGCTTGGTAGTTCTCATGATGAAGATTAGAACCAAGGCCACGAAGCGATCATCAGATTAGTTGATTTGGTGGAGGTTGAGGGCGACGTAATATGGCAATTTGTTGACAGCGAAGGATGTAGGAATTGTCGTCGACGGTCGGAGTGGGATTGTTTTGCATCAGGAGTTTTATGGTTAACTAGGACATATCATAAGGGTTATCTCAGCAAGCTCAGACGGTATCCAAGACGGATGGTCCTGCGCGTACACGTTAGGTATTCTACACGTACACGTCCCCGGCTTCTACACGTACCGTACACGTCCCCAAATATGGTTAGCCTACTAGTTTCTGTGACCACCAACTCGCTCAACGTGCAGCTGCAGAACTCGCGGAAATGGTGATAGAAGTATTAAATATCAACTGTCAGAGATCAGAATGTCTCCTGTCCTCCAATTTCCTATCCATGACCCCATATTCCTAACTATGACAACGCATCATGCATCCCGCGATGTTACCAGCCCCCCATTCTTTGCTTTTTCGCTCGTCTTGAGCAAGTCAAGGTCTCTAGGGCCATGAAATGTATACAGAACTTAAATATGGACGTATTCCCGCAGTTTCTATACTCATTAGGATCAAGGTCAATCTATCTATGCTCTTTTGGAATCTAACGGTGTTTTCCCACTGTATCGCTGCAATGATCACCTGATTGAGCAAAACCGCCATTTATCTCACATCAACGCCAATCTTGTTCTAAATATGGCTCTCCGCCCAACTAATTCGCTGGGCCTAGTCCCGTATCTCGATCCGTCAGATTTTGATGGAAATGAGGAGGGAGGTGAGGAGGGAAGTGAGGAGGAAAGTGAGGCTGGAGATAGTGATATGGAGGAGAGCTTTGCGACTGCAGACGAGGAGATTAACGATGAGGTCGACCAAGATATAGAGGACTTACCTGACTCCTTCTTCAACGACTTCCTAAATACGATACAGGAGGACTATATCAATCTTTCCGCCCCACCGGTCCAGCCTGATCAAGGCTGGAAAGATATCGACGATGCCTACCAATATCTCCTCCAATACGCGCGTGATCGGCGTTTCGGTATCCGTAGAGGTAAGACCTTTACGGATAAGTACTGGGATGAGAAGAATCGTGCCTGGTTCGAGTGCGATCGGTCCGGAAAACCTCCCAAAATCTCGTCCTTAATCCGCAAGACTGGAAGCTCGAAAACCGGCTGTGGATGGGCGGTTAAGATCAAACTCGACCGTGATACGCGGCGTTGGGTTATTCATACCATGGTTCTAGGGCATAACCATAACGTTGTCTCCTCGGCATCAGCTCACCGCAGCCACCGCAAATTGACTGTGGAACAGAAGCAGGAAATTGACAAGATGACAATGGCTGGATGTACGCCAAAACAGATCTATAACGCCATCCAATCCGGCACAGATTTGATCAGGAGAGATATATATAATCGACGCGAC